ATTTAATTCATTTGGCTTTGATCTTAGATCAATGAATGACACCACTTTGAATGAAGATGATAGCACTTTGTCCTGCATGCTTCAAGTCTTAAAGATTATGACCTTTTAAATAATTTAAAAGAAATTGAAAAAAAAGAAAGTCACATTTACTTGAACATACACCACTGACTCAATCATTCCAGCATGCTAAAGGATAGATAAAGGCATTATTACCAAGGCCTCTTGGTTTTTAAGAAGAAGATTTTTTTTGTAGAAATTGAAAAGATTCTAGATGGACAATGGAATGAAAGGCTGTATAGGCATATACCTTAACGTAAGAATTACTTATGCCTTAAAAATATTTCTAAGAAATGATCCATCTTTCCTTGCCATTTGAGAAGACCTGTTCATTTTAACATCACAATTAATGGTTCCTTTGACACTTACGATGGCAATTTGACGACTATAATACCACATTCATAGTTCCATCCTCGCACATACTTCTTCTGTTCTTCGTACTCACCCTTTATACTGATAGCTAGAAAACAAGCAGGAAAATCAAACACATAGCCAATCAGCAGCCATAATGGGTGGGCCTGATATAACACATATTTAGCCTATTACCAGCCATATCTGGTGGGCCAGATATAACACATATATAGCCAATCAGCAGCCATAACTAGTGGGTCAGATATAACACATATTTAGCCAATTACCAGCCATATCTGGTGGGCCAGATATAACACATATCTAGCCAATCAGCAGCCATAACTAGTGGGTCAGATATAACACATATCTAGCCAATCAGCAGCCATAACTGGTGGGTTAGATATAACACATATCTAGCCAATCAGCAGCTATAACTAGTGGGTCAGATATAATGCATATCTAGCCAATCAGTAGTCATAACTGTTGGGTTAGATATAACACATATCTAGCCAATCAGCAGCTATAACTAGTGGGTCAGATATAACGCATATCTAGCCAATCAGTAGTCATAACTGTTGGGTTAGATATAACACATATCTAGCCAATCAGCAGCTATAACTAGTGGGTAAGATATAACGCATATCTAGCCAATCAGTAGTCATAACTGTTGGGTCAGATATAACGCATATCTAGCCAATCAGTAGTCATAACTGTTGGGTCAGATATAACACGTCTATGTTTGAATAATTCACCAAGCAATAAACAACTTATATATATCCAGCAATAAGCCCGCTCACATATATGTTCTTTTCAGTCAAATTATTAATCATTATCATATCATTATGTCCAATAAAAAGCCCAAGATGACTGGAGTAACAAGTGGCTCAATGGACCTGGGTTTCTCACCTATTCTACAGTATACACAGAGACATTAGTGGTTCATAAAATCAATTTCTGCAAACTTGAAGTTCTATTTCTCAAGCATGCTACTCAAAAACACCATAACCTAGGAGGTATTGCGTGAAAGAATAGATTTAAGATTCTTAACACATTTGATTTCTGTAACCTTGAAAGTAGGTCAATCACCCAAGTATGATACAGAAGCGATGGTGTTGGTGTTTAGGTTATCAAGAAGAAGTTGTGTGAAGATTTTAACGCATTACACCCTCATGACCTTGAAAGGTCTCATTTGAATAAATTTGATAGCCATCCCAGTATGCTGCAGGCTAAATATCACCACCCAAGACCTTTTGATTATTGTGAAGAAGTCATTTTAAGATTCCAACATATTTGACCCTTGCGACTTGAAAGTGAGTCAAGGTCATTAATCTAAACAAACTTGATTGTCCTTTATTCCAACATGCTAGAGCTCTGATATCAGCACCCTGGGCCTTTTGGTCATTGAAAATCATTTCTTTAAGTGTTTCAACACAATTGACCCCTGTGACCTTAAGTATGGGTCAAGGTAGTTTCTTTTCACAAACTTTGACCAGCTTCATCATTATTCTAGGCCTTTTGGTTATAGAGAGGAACTTGTTTAAATGTGTCATCAAAATTGACACCTGTCACCTTAGATATGAATCACAGTCATATCTTATCACAAATTAGTAGGGCTTCATCACAGGAACGTTTCAGCCAAATGTCTTGATTCTTGACCTTTGGATTATTAAGAAGAATTCATTTAAACATGTTTTATAAAATATGACCACTGTGACCATGAATATGGATCAAGGCCATTTCTTTTTGCATTACAAACTTTGTCAGGCTTAATTCCACAAACCTACCAGCCAAGTATTTTCACTCTTGAACAAAAGTTGATGTCGGACAGAGATATGCTGCACAGGCTCATCTGCCTCTAGCTAAAACTTAGGTTAAATTTGTCCTTTCCCGTCCCCACCTGCCCCAGGCTTATTGCAGGATAGATAAAGTAATGTTATGAGGTCAAAGGGCAATGTCAAAGTAGCATAGTCATGGTTACATTTTTTACATGATGACAATAACACATGCTTATAATGATATTGTGATTTTCTTGCTTGTGTTTCTTTCAATATGGCTAATGCTATGACCAAACAAACCATGTGACTTCATGTAAGGGTCAAGGGTAAGAAAGGTCAAAGGTCAGCTATATATCAGCTTGCCTGTGGAGGTAATGAATTAAAAGAGGGAAGCATTTATTATATTCTATTTCTGGAAGGCAATCCTCAGCTGAAACATCTCCAAATAACATATAACAACGCACTCCTCGGCTAATTACATTCCTACAAGTCTCTTAAGAAATCAACATTTTCTTACCTTTAAAACTTTCTCTTATGTAGCATTCATGTATATCTATATTTTTAAAGTAACAAATCAATGTTTACTTAAGGCCTGAATATCATGACTAAATATTTCAGAAAAAGTTTTTGTAGGCAAGTGTTGGTTTTCTTTAGATAGGACACAAAAATTGGAGAGCAGTGATCGCCCCTGGATGTTGATAAGACTTCTTAAGAAAGATGGTGGAACTTAACTGAGGAGGGTTCAATTCAGGAAGGATGCCATTAATATGAGTAGCCAGCCAGTCTACCTAAAACTGCTGACAGGATCTCAAGGATGTAGTGATTATCAGCATTTATAAACCTGGTAAATACAGGCAACATCCTGAAAGTGGTGAGAAAAGTGGTCTACTACCTCAGGGTATGTCTGTGTTCCTATCACCTATCTATCCCCCTTGTAGATACCAGTAGCGATCAACTAGATACATTACAACTTAATGGAGCTGCCTTCCATACATCTGACCTATTTGGTTACTTTAAAACTTTCTGTTACATTCACTAAATGTTGTTAAAGTTTCACTTCACTTCAGGTGTGCTTAAATTTAAACCAAGTTTAATTCCACACTCTCTGTACAATCCCTGACACCTAAATCAGTTGAGGAATTAATGGCAGATTGCTATAAATTCAGAAAAAGAGGTAAATCAGTTTTGAAAATGCAAGTGATAGAAGAGTGTAAACAATTGTTAAAACATTTTTTTTTACATGAAGTTGCTTCCTTTAAGTGAGTATTGATTCATGTGAGACATGCACATTAACATGCATGAGTAATTGTGCTGTAAATATATATATATATGTAGATATGGACTCGAGTTCAGAAGTATACATTCACTATATTTGATGTAATAAAGTGCAGGAAAATGATTTAAGTGGAGTCTTAAATATTGATATAATTTTCATCTGACACAATACCTTGTATTTTTTACTATTTTCCATCAACAGCAGTGGAGATACAAGACCTCCTTATTTCTCTCTCACGTGATGACTGTTCCACATTGAAAAAGCAGTATAATGTATATTATTTCATTAAAAAAACCCACCAAAAGCTCATGACAATCAACAGCAGGATTGTTTTTGCAATGTTCTCATACTCTGGGGGCAGCTGTCTTGATAGAAAAAACAAACAGTACTGCACGATGCATCTGGAAATCTGGAAGTCTAAACTTAATGAGAGGTAACATTTTTTTTATTTAACATTCCAATTCCTAGGAGGGCACTCTATTACATCAAATTTAGTATTTAATTAATATTTATGTAGGAGAGTAAAATTGGCAATTATATACACTAATGAAATTAGTAACTTTGATATTTTCAAGGAATCGGATGCAGGCAGAGAAATAATTTATATAGCTTTTTTTAAAGAAAACTGATATTAAGTGTTATTGTCAGAAACAAGTTTATTAAACTTTCAAATTTCTTGAAAAGAGATAGTGACAAGTCATATTTAACATATATTTTGAAGATGATCATAAACTTATCTGAGCATGCTGTATGCTGACAATACATGTTTTAAAGAAGTTATTCACCGTAAATTCTTATCTTCTCAACTGATAAAATAAATTCAACAGACATGTTTCTTCACTTCTTAAATAAATTGTTTATGATTTCAATGTTTAAAAGTGAATATATCACTCATTCTTAAAAGTTTGAGATTTTTTTTTTCAAATCTTTGTACTATATTTCGACTTTTATGTATGCCAGAATTCCTGAAGGGTGTATAAAGATGCTTGGTTTTGCCTTACTGGCCTAATCAGAAGTGTATGATAGCAAGCTTCTTAACATGTAGCTACCTAGCTTTTCTATATACATTGTACAGAGATAATATCAATAACAGAAGTTAAAGGCTCTGTTTGATTTCAGTTAAGACTGATTAAAAGTCATTTAAACATCTTTAAAAATGACTTTAAAAATTTAATTAAAAAAAGCAAACTTTCTCATCAATTTTTGAAATTATGAAACCTTTTTTCCATTTACACTTTTTATTTGTGATTGTGTTGGACATTCACATGTGTATGTTATGTAATTCACATGCTTACTGTGAACAATGAATTGCAAAATTAAGTAAATGGAAGTTATGTTTGAACAAATGAATGATGAAAATAGCATTCCTGATGACTTTTATTGATGTAGCGACACAGATACACAGGAAAAAGACAAGATATACAACTATCAATGCTTCAGTTTCAAGATGGCAGATGCAGGATAATCCCAAGCTTGCAAAACAAAGACAGGCATCGATGCATAGTGACAGATTGGAACCCCCACTAACATGGGAGACTTACTTTGGATATTTACACACAATCATACCACAGCTGTAGTTATGTCCCCTTACATGTTTTTCATCAGAGGGACAGTCGTTGTGAACAATACTTATAGCTGAAACATGAAACAAACATTATACCGAAAAACTTAAAAGTTTGATCTCGGGAGAGTCACTTTGTGTAGGTATAGCTGAAATACAAAACAAATCAGTTGAGACTGGACAATCAATTTGTGTATCTAAAACATGAAATGAAAAAAAAAAAAAAAAAGAAAAAAAAATGGACACCTTCTGTGAATGCTGAAATACGAACAAAATTTGCAAATTATTACAGGAGTCATATGATACTAAAAGCTGAACATTTAGATATTGTCTGTAGACCAATGTAACACTACAGAAAGACGAAATAAGCATCAGAAAATCAGAAACAACATATAAATATCATTAACATCTGAAATTCATGTAACATCAAAACATTGTTAACATCTTAAACAACATCTAACCAATGTAAATATCTAAAATAACATCTAAATCCCCTCAAATTATGAACATTTTTAACATCTTTAACACAACATATCTTTTATGTCAATTAACATCATATGCTGAAAATCAATATTCTGTTGCTGCTACTAACTTCAGCTATTTCAGCACAAAGCGTTTGTAGTGATTTACTTCTACAAATTTTAAACCACCACTTTAAAATTTGATATGCACACCATCATTCAAACATCAAAGGGAGCCCTGAGAATATGGGAATCTGTTTAAAAATTTCACAATTTTAAGTTTTATCATTTTAAAAAGCATTATGATTGAGTTCTTTGATTGGAAACAGATTCAAAATCAATAGTTTAATCTCTTTAGTTGAAAATTATCTGTTTTCATTAGTTATTACTTAAATAAAATTTCAATACAGTAATCTAACAAGAGATCACAGAGGGATCTTGACGCCCACCATTGTTTATGGTATGTTCTTTGAAAGTTGGACTTTTTCTGTTTTTTCTCTCTTCTTTTCTCTGTTTTTGCTCTGAATGATAAGACATTTGAACATTCCTCTGCAAAAATAGCCATGATATTCTTTACCTGCCAAATCCATAAATGGCTGTCTGGAAGCCATTTTGTTCTTCTGATCAGTCCCAAAATCAAACGAGAACAAGGATAGAAGAAGGGAACATATGTCAGAAAATGTGAGAGATATCCATTCAGTACTTCTTTAGAAATAGCAATAACAATCTTTACCAGGCAAAATCCAAGGTAACAAACTTTCGAATTCAAAATCTAAGATGTCTGTCTATAGGCCATTTTTTTAAATTATCAGAACCAAACCTGAATGAGTACAACTAAGTGAATCTATATCTGAAATTTTCGAAAGAAATAGCAATATCAAACTTCCAAAGTCAAAATCCAAGATGGCTGCCTTTCGGCCATTTTCTTTTTCTGATCAGTCCCAAAATATAATGAGTGCAACTAGGGACTAAGGGGAACCTACAAATGAAATTTTAAAAAGATTCATCCAGTACTTCTCGAGAAATAGTGATGACAAAAATAGTTTATGGAGGGACAACGGACCATGGATGCAGATCAATTTGGTAACTGGTATGAGAACAAGCTGCCGGTGTGTACTGTAGAAAATCTAGGCCCTAGCTAAAGGTGTTCAATAAATGAATGCTTGGTTATTACAAATAAAAAATATTGCTTATTGAACACACCAAATGAACCCAAAAGTCGTCACAAATTTCATTTAATTATATGGTATTTTTTATCACCAAAAAGCCTTCCTAACCTAAGTTAAACTACTTCAGTTGTTCCTATGATTTTAAATCTATTCCCATTTATGGGATCCTCAGAGCTGATTTTTTATAGTCCTTTATGTAAGTTGTCAGTGTACCACGGCATGAATGGTTTAAATGGCAGCAACTCTTGACAAAGATTTAATTAAACCTAAATGAGAATTTTGTTAATTCACAAACAATAATAAATGTGTATAAAGACTAGTGTGTACTTTGAATGTAGAAATATTCACTTTGTCATCCTAACCACAAATTAAACAACAGTGTTTATTACAGCACAGTGCAGTGACAAGTACACACTGAGGTAAATTTAATCTCCACAACAACTACCAATCTTGGGCTCTGCTTTACTTAAGTAGGCGGTCTTTGTTAGATGTTATCACTAAGATCTGTATGTGGGGGACGTAGCAGATGTAACAGATATACTGTGTGTTAATGTTGAGTCAGTCGAGGTCGTACACTTCCGGCTCTGGTGAACATAACACTCTAATCCTGTTTTACTGCATAACAAAAGTGTATTAACATAATCGAAAAAAGAGTGCTACAGTTCAGAATAAGATTTTGTTTGAATATTTTCTCTATCAAATTTTTTTTCTCATACTAATAATCCATTTTTTTCAGATTTTCACAGATCTTGAATATGTACATCATGACCCCATCTTTATTTTAACAACCTTAGTTACTCTTCATTCTAGTTTGCTACAGGCAAAACATATGTATAACAGTTTTTTGGTTTTTAATAAGAAGTTGTTTGCAGATTTTAGCACAGGATCAAGGACATTTACTTCATCACATTTTAGAAGCCTCTATCTATCTCAGTGTGCTTTTAAGCTAACTAAAATAGCCTTTGTGTAACTAAGAAGAAATCATTTGAATCTTTCTGACATTGAAAAGTGGGTCAAGGTCTTTATTTTTTAATGCTTTGAAAGCCATTCCCCTCAGCATGTTTCTAAGCAGGTATAATGACTTAAGGCCTTTTGGTTTTACACAAGAAGTTATTTGAAGATGTTTAGTAATGAAATATTACTTTTAGACTCTTGATCATTTAGAAAAAAATTATGACCTTGAACATTGGCCAAACAAGTTCTTTGGTTTATTGAATAAATGTAGAATAAAGGAAAAAGTGTATGCCATGTGAATATGATGATGCTGAGGGAAAAAAATTGAACTTATCATAATAATAAGCTCATAGATTCAGATTGAAAAAACTCAAAGTTCACATCTGCATGCAAATAAAAGATTTATTTCCATTTTTTGTTGTGTGCTTATTGTTTGTTTGGTTGTATTCTAAAAAGACTTTTTCCTCCTCTTTTTATAAAGATTTACGTAAAAGCTTTGTTTTCATTTGCAAAATCAATATTTTCATCAGAGTTCAGAGATTTTATAGCACCGATCTTGTCAAAGCTTGTTACTTGAACTATATAATGTACAGGACACTTGCATCGTATACACAGGGAATGTTTCTAGAGAATGGCAGTAGGTCTTTGTGTAATAAACAACAGCAGCATTGTGTCTGGAGTTCTAGGTCCAGTTAAACGTTTGGAAAACACAATCACTACACAATGGCTGCCTGTAATAAGGTTCATTATCTACACAACATTTACTAACTGTAAAAAGTATAAAAATTTAAAATATACCATTAATGTACCTCATACATGTCTAAACCATCAGAAGTAAATTAAATAATAATGTGATATTTATATATCAACTTACAACCAAGAGTACTTGTATTACCAAATTAAAGGATTACTGAAATTAATTGAAGTAAAACTGAAACTGCCAAGTTGAATTTGACTGAGACAGGTAAAGTGTCTCTTAACAGAAACAAGTGCCTGTATAAATTGGGAAAATATAGTACTGTTTCCTTTAAAATTTAGAAATGTACTGTATCAGTATTTCTTCATTTTGGGAAAGTAACACACTTTTTATCTTGAGGAAACAGCCTGTGTTTAGCTGTAAAACAGGACAAAAAAATCACTACTACCCAACTTATTAAACTGAATACCTTTACATGACTTTGCCTCTATATTTTGCAGTTTTAATTCTGTATATGCTAAATTTGGAAACAAGAGTTATCTCATTTTAACTTTTATATTTTATGATACTGTGGAAGTATTACTTAATATCTAAATTTTATATCAGAATCAAATGTTAAAGTGATTGATGATGAAAATTCATGCGAGATGAATTAAATTTCATGTTTTTTGTTCCCAAAGTAATGAACCCTCTGAATCAGAATCATATTAAATCATGTCAAATCAAAACAAGAGGCCCATGGGCCTTACCAGTCATCTGACATAAAATACAAGATTTCAAATTTTGAACTTGAGGTCTTGAAGTCGAAAATGTGATTTCAAGATGGTGCCATGTTAGATTTCGGACCAACCCGAAATTAACAAACTTTGGTCAGGATCATGTCACGATCATTTCAGGTAAGTTTCAGCTCAAGACATGTAGAACTTGAGAAGTTGAAAATGTTTACGACGGACAACATACGACGGACCATTCCGGACAAAAGGCGATCGCAATAGGTCATCAGACCAAAGGGTCTGATGACCTAATAAAGACCATGAAAATTTCAAATCAAAATTTCCATAAATGTTGACAAAATGCAGACATCTGATTGGCTAAGTATGTTTTTTAAACTCACCATTGGTTGACAAGTATTCATCTGTTTCTTTAATTAATATTAAGTCTACAAAATCACGTGGCGATATTAGTCCCATACAGGCACTGTTCGTACAGGCTCTGTTCACGCGAAGGTCCTGCAAGGTACAAAACACATAAGTTACTTGTACATTTTCATGTGGATTCTGCAATTAGCCAAGGGGGCCAAAATATCAAATTCTGATTCAAAGTCAGGGGATTGGATATTGTACAGGTTTGAAACATTCTTGAATTTGAAAGGATGTGCGGGATTTTTCTTTTGTAAACTAAAGACAAATTGATGTAAAGATATAAAACACTTTTTAAAATTACCATACAAACTGGCAAATTCATAATAACTAACCAGATGAATCTGCTAATATAGACCACATTTGTTAATAAAAAATCAATATGTGTTGTCTTATTTGTTTACAATTCAAAAAATAATGCACTGCACAGTTGATCTAATGGGCAGCCACAGTAAAAGCATGCATAGGTAGGTGAATCTATTTCAGAATCTATTCATCTGTGTTTCTATGAAAAAAGGTTTCATTGTTATCAATAAAAAGATTGAATAGTTTATTAATTCTATTACAGATTCTTTCTCTTCTGTACATCTACTTACATCTCTTGTTTTTATATTAAAAGGTGTTTTTAGTTTCTGGAAGGTACTATGACAGAATTTGGCAGAAAATCTTGTTCTTAAACTACATTATACTGATTAGAGACAGCCCTAATGTTATACTGGTCTTAGACAATTCTGATGTTATACTGGTCTTAGACAGCCCTGATGTTATACTGGTCTTAGACAGCCCTGATGTTATACTGGTCTCAGACAGTCCTAATGTTATACTGGTCTCAGACAGTCCTAATGTTATACTGGTCTCAGACAGTCCTAATGTTATACTGGTCTTAGACAGTCCTAATGTTATACTGGTCTTAGACAGTCCTAATGTTATACTGGTCTCAGACAGTGCTGATGTTATACTGGTCTCAGACAGTCCTAATGTTATACTGGTCTTAGACAGTCCTAATGTTATACTGGTCTTAGACAGTCCTAATGTTATACTGGTCTCAGACAGTGCTGATGTTATACTGGTCTCAGACAGTCCTAATGCTATACTGGTCTCAGACAGTCCTAATGTTACTGTGGTCTCAGACAGTCCTAATGCTATACTGGTCTCAGACAGTCCTAATGTTATACTGGTCTCAGACAGTGCTGATGTTATACTGGTCTCAGACAGTCCTAATGCTATACTGGTCTCAGACAGTCCTAATGTTATACTGGTCTCAGACAGTGCTGATGTTATACTGGTCTCAGACAGTCCTGATGTTATACTGGTCTCAGACAGTCCTGATGTTATACTGGTCTTAGACAATCCTAATGTTACTGTGGTCTCAGACAGTCCTAATGTTACACTGGTCTCCGACAGTCCTAATGTTACTGTGGTCTCAGACAGTCCTAATGTTACACTGGTCTCAGACAGTCCTAATGTTACTTTGGTCTCAGACAGTCCTAATGTTACTGTGGTCTCAGACAGTCCTATTGTTACACTGGTCTCAGACAGTCCTAATGTTATACTGGTCTTAGACAATCCTAATGTTACTGTGGTCTCAGACAGTCCTAATGTTACTGTGGCCTCAGACAGTCCTTATGTTACTGTGGTCTCAGACAGTCCTAATGCTATACTGGTCTCAGACAGTCCTAATGTTACACTGGTCTCAGACAGTCCTAATGTTACTGTGGTCTCAGACAGTCCTAATGTTACACTGGTCTCAGACAGTCCTAATGTTACTGTGGTTTCAGACAGTCCTAATATTACTGTGGTCTCAGACAGTCCTAATGTTACTGTGGCCTCAGACAGTCCTTATGTTACTGTGGTCTCAGACAGTCCTAATGCTATACTGGTCTCAGACAGTCCTAATGTTACTGTGGTCTCAGACAGTCCTAATGTTACACTGGTCTCAGACAGTCCTAATATTACTGTGGTCTCAGACAGTCCTAATGTTACTGTGGTCTCAGACAGTCCTAATGTTACACTGGTCTCAGACAGTCCTAATGTTACACTGGTCTCAGACAGTCCTAATGTTACTTTGGTCTCAGACAGTCCTAATATTGCTGTGGTCTCAGACAGTCCTAATGTTACTTTGGTCTCAGACAGTCCTAATGTTACTGTGGTCTCAGACAGTCCTAATGTTACTTTGGTCTCAGACAGTCCTAATATTGCTGTGGTCTCAGACAGTCCTAATGTTACTGTGGTCTCAGACAGTCCTAATGTTACTTTGGTCTCAGACAGTCCTAATATTGCTGTGGTCTCAGACAGTCCTAATGTTACTTTGGTCTCAGACAGTCCTAATGTTACTGTGGTCTCAGACAGTCCTAATGTTACTGTGGTCTCAGTCCTAATGTTATTTTGGTCTCAGACAGTCCTGATGTTATACTGGTCTCAGACAGTCCTGATGTTATACTGTCTCAGACAATCTAATGTTATACTGGTCTCAGACAGTCCTGATGTTACACTGGTCTCAGACAATTCTGATGTTACACTGGTCTCAGACAGTCCTAATGTTATTTTGGTCTCAGACAGTCCTGATGTAACAATGGTATCAGTCAGTCCTGATGTTACACTGGTTCCAGACAGTCCTAATGTTATTTTGGTCTCAGACAGTCCTGATGTTACAATGGTATCAGTCAGTCCTGATGTTACTGTCCTGATGTTACACTGGTTCCAGACAGTCCTAATGTTACTGTGGTCTCAGACAGTCCTAATGTTGTTTTGGTCTCAGACAGTCCTGGTGTTACACTGGTCTCAGTCAGTCCTGATGTTACTGTCTTGATGTTACACTGGTTCCAGACAGTCCTAATGTTACTGTGGTCTCAGACAGTCCTAATGTTGTTTTGGTCTCTGACAGTCCTGGTGTTACACTGGTCTCAGACAGTCCTAATGTTACACTGGTCTCAGACAGTCCTAATATTACTGTGGTCTCAGACAGTCCTAATGTTACTGTGGTCTCAGACAGTCCTAATGTTACACTGGTCTCAGACAGTCCTAATGTTACACTGGTCTCAGACAGTCCTAATGTTACTTTGGTCTCAGACAGTCCTAATATTGCTGTGGTCTCAGACAGTCCTAATGTTACTTTGGTCTCAGACAGTCCTAATGTTACTGTGGTCTCAGACAGTCCTAATGTTACTTTGGTCTCAGACAGTCCTAATATTGCTGTGGTCTCAGACAGTCCTAATGTTACTGTGGTCTCAGACAGTCCTAATGTTACTTTGGTCTCAGACAGTCCTAATATTGCTGTGGTCTCAGACAGTCCTAATGTTACTTTGGTCTCAGACAGTCCTAATGTTACTGTGGTCTCAGACAGTCCTAATGTTACTGTGGTCTCAGTCCTAATGTTATTTTGGTCTCAGACAGTCCTGATGTTATACTGGTCTCAGACAGTCCTGATGTTATACTGTCTCAGACAATCTAATGTTATACTGGTCTCAGACAGTCCTGATGTTACACTGGTCTCAGACAATTCTGATGTTACACTGGTCTCAGACAGTCCTAATGTTATTTTGGTCTCAGACAGTCCTGATGTAACAATGGTATCAGTCAGTCCTGATGTTACACTGGTTCCAGACAGTCCTAATGTTATTTTGGTCTCAGACAGTCCTGATGTTACAATGGTATCAGTCAGTCCTGATGTTACTGTCCTGATGTTACACTGGTTCCAGACAGTCCTAATGTTACTGTGGTCTCAGACAGTCCTAATGTTGTTTTGGTCTCAGACAGTCCTGGTGTTACACTGGTCTCAGTCAGTCCTGATGTTACTGTCTTGATGTTACACTGGTTCCAGACAGTCCTAATGTTACTGTGGTCTCAGACAGTCCTAATGTTGTTTTGGTCTCTGACAGTCCTGGTGTTACACTGGTCTCAGACAGTCCTGATGTTACACTGGTCTCAGACAGTCCTAATGTTATTTTGGTTTCTGACAGTCCTGGTGTTACACTGGTCTCAGACAGTCCTGATGTTACACTGGTCTCAGACAGTCCTGATGTTACACTGGTCTCAGACAGTCCTGATGTTACACTGGTCTCAGAGATTCCTAATTATTAGATTAATGACCCTTTCTGGCATCAATATGCTTAGTCTTTATATCTACAATAAATGAATTAAGTGCGAATTTGTTTTTGATATAGATTTTTATTGACAGCACAGTTTACAAACATTGAACCATGGCTGATATTTCCTACAGAAGTGATACATTACACACACAGTTTAAAGTCAGCAGTATGAGATCTTTTACAGGCAGAGCTGCCCCCTACTGTAATTAATAACCGTTTCACAGCTGCAAGAAAACTGATAATTTTCCAGTCTAGATGTTGTACCTGATCACACCCAAAATACTCTCCATGTATAAAAAGAAAGATTTTAAAGTGTTTCATGTTCGAGTTTCACGTCTAAACCTATTTGATCACTAGTTGTTTCTGCATTTTAATCTTTAAAGCTACAAATAAAAAAAAAAAAAATACAAAATGGATACATTTTTTTAAAAAACTTTAAGTGGAATCTTCATATCATACGTATCTATTTCACGTGTACTGAGGTCTTTGAGTAGTTAATGAAAATCCACAAAATGCAAAAAAGAGAAATGTTATTCATTTCTCCCTAATGAAATTAACAACAAGAATTCAATTAATACAATAAAAAGTATCTACTTCACATCAAAATATTTTGAATATTTGAAATGTTAAATTTCAAAAGCAAGAGATTCGAGTGTATATGTAAATGTAGTTAAATTTACACATTATTGTATTTCATACTTAGTGTTATTTCTGTATAAAGATGCACAACCTGAAAAACACGTTTCCAATAAAGCAAACCTGTCTATAGCAACCACCCATGGGATCAGAAGAAAGTTGTTGCTATAGACAGAGGGTCATTAAAAACAGGTGTGATCTGGTCGCTACCATCATGGATCAAAATGGTCAAGGGTGACATTTGACCTTTAAGCTTGACAAATGACAGGGCTCTCACACCCCATTTTGGGACTGGGGCCTGAGGCCCTTAGAATTGGGGAAAATATCAGTGTTTTCCTTAAAATTGGGAAAAGTTGGGGTCTAAATTGGGGAAAAAAGATACTATTTTGCATTGGGAATGGGGCCGAATATCGGCCCCAAATCAGGCAGATTGAGAGCCCTGAATGACCACCAAAAATCTTATCAGATGTAGACCTTGGCAGTATAATACTACGGTGTGAATATGAATCAAATCTGTTCAGGGGTTTATGAGATATCATGTACACAAGGTTACTGCTGCCTACACATATCAGCCTCACAGAATGACAGCTATGTATCATCTCCCATTGCACAGTGAAGGATAAAATAAACAAGGTTTATATATATGTACAAACAGAAACAGAAAGCAACTTTAATAATGATATCTAATCTAGATATCTACCTTATCAATCTGTTTGATGATTTCTATCTTCTTCATGTTTTTGTCCCATTTTGCCCTGTGTCCGTCAGGTAGAGGCTCGATATAGTCAAACACATCCTTTGGTTTAGCACAATAAACCGCTTCACCTTTGTATCTATATCGCAAAAATAAATAAAAATAATATTGATAAACTGCCAATCATGCATTAGACATAAAAATCAACTTTATTTATGTTTCAACAATTGTGAAACAAGTCTTGTTGGCCCAGAAGGGAATGGGGAAGGGATCTTTATGTATTACCAGGGAAAATCCACATGGTCGGCAGGTGATGCCATATTTTCAACATATGTTTGGGAAATTGAACCTGGATGTGGAAGTGAAAGGTGAGTAGCATTGCACCATCTGATCACCCTCAAGTAATACATTACATAGTCCTCAAGGTAAAATAATCCTTTGATTCAATCTCTCTTTAAAACAATATGTCAAACTGATGCATAATTACTGGCGTTCATTCTATGTATTATCCTTAATGTTATGCTATGAGAACTTTTCATAACAGGTCAAAAATCAAGATTTTCCAGGAGATATATTATATATCAAGAAGAATATAACTATCATTTTCTTCCAATGTCAAATATCTATGGATAACCTTGATTTGCACTTTGAAGTTTACAATTGAAGTTGTAATCCTGATCACTATTTACCATGTTCAATGGAGTCTGTAAATTTGTATATTTTTGTTGAGCACAAATTTCTTGGTTTTACAAAAATATGCATTTATGCTGGCACAGATTAAATCTTACTAATGAATTCCACAAGTACTATACTAAAATCCATTTCATTCTTTATCTGTTTATCAACTTTTCAAAGTAGTTCAAAGTGAAAGTATTGGACTAAGATATAACTGTGTTAACTGCAGTTACTTTATGTTGATTATAATGAACTGTACCATATTTTCTGTGGGGCTCAATTTTCATTATTTTTAAGGACTGGATTTTGTGAATATATATATAGTTCAATAAGACTACTTATACTTATTCTAACAATTCGGGACATATAAATTTGTGAATTCAGAATATCAACAAAATCAATGAAAATAAATTTGACAAAAAAAAAAAAAAAATCATGATTTCACAGTAATTATTGTGGATATAAGAATTTATCATTGTGCTAATTTGATAAAAAGTTATAATGTACTAAAATTTGATCACGCCAAAAGAAGTATATGTACAGTAGTTAAGTTTGTAAATTACAAGTCACCCAAAATTAAATGAAATTAAAACCTCTACAAAAAGTATTGCTTCAACAGTACAAAAACTTGCACAAAAAATAATGATTTAACAGTATAAAAAAACTCCCACAAGAATTAACAATCAAATAGTAAACTCGACCAAAATGTGATGATTTCAAAGTAAAAATCAATGATTTTAACAGCATGGATTAAGGTTTGAACAAAGAACAACAAAGGGCTTGGTATTGTACAGATGATGTAATATTTTCAATCAATATTTTGTGTGACAGACATGTTCTTTACCATACAACCAATTGCATGATTCATTTAGATACTCTACATGTATAGCCAGGAAAATCCTCCTGTTAAATAAGTAACATTCAGGACTGAGATCTCGCCAGTTTTCATTTGGTATAGTACTTTCTATACAAATTTCTAGTTATTTCTCATCAATGGACCTCCCCAGACAGCACTTGGACCGATATATAGACTAAATTCTTGTGAAATTTGCCAGTAGTCTTGATAAATCATTAGTACTAATGAAACATCGGTCAGATCTAACTCATTAGCGATATTCATTTCAATCCAGACAGACTTCGGAATTTTGTAATAATTATACATCCTTTGTGTAACTGCCTGGGTCTGTTTAAGCGTAACATGCTGGCCTTGTGGAACAGGTCGGAGCATTATAAGAGTCCTGATGTTCCGTGGATAATGATCTTTTCCATGCATCTTCTGACACTTTGTAAGTTGGCTCATTTGTGCACCAAACTACAAAAGTTACAGTTTCTGCTATGTTAAAGGATTCAGCCCAGCTCAATTTCCTTTTGTAACTCATAAATAATGCATTCAATATTGCAGGAGGTTAGCTCGGTACAACAGGAGTGCCGAAACCTAGGCAATGCACATGTTCTGTCTCCATTTCTTGAGGGCATTTGTGTTTCATTCTGCATCTAGTCTTTCTCTCCTGTAATCCTGATAACGTTTCTCTTTCTATGGTATCCCATTTCAGTGACTATTTTTTATGTGAACATATCACATACATAACACAGTCTAAGGGACGTAATAAAAAATTAGAAAAGCTTTAGTGTTGGGAACTGAAATGTACCCCTGTGCATCTGTATAAATTTAGAGCCTGATGGTCAATTACTGCAGGGTTTTCCTGAGATTCACATTTTGTACTTTTTCTAAAAGCCAACAAAAAAACTTGATTCTTGAACAAATAGATTTTAAGAACACATTGAAATCAACAAAAATACTTTAAAAACATATATATTTCAGTGGTAATACTTTAGCAGTTTTCCCAGTGATGGTATCGCACAAAAGCATGATTGTGCTAATTGTCACTTCTGCATATGGTTTATATAGAATAATTATCATTGATGCGAGAAATCATCATTGCTTTAATTTGCTGAAATGTGTGTACTTAAAGTTAATTGTCTTAAATTGAGAATGTTAACAGTGAAAAACTAGAAAATGTCTGCCATCTAGTGAAATCAGTTTAGGGGGTAGAGGGGTGAGGGGTTATACTTTTATATAGCATGGAACAAGGTTGACCATGGTCTTTATCTTGGGGGCCTCTGAAACACAACAAAGTCCAAAGTATATTCATAATCGTTCTTTCCATAATGTTTTAACGAAAATCCATTGAAAAAATGAAGCTGATAGGTGCTCATATTGAATAAGACATTGGCAAAGCTAAATGCCCCCCTCCCCCCCCTCCAGGTGGGGGATAAATAAAAAACAACAAAAAGTGATCATGACAGTCCAATTACTGTAAAATGTATTGAAATCAACAACAGGTGCAGTAAAGTGATTAAACCTATTGCCATTTTGACATAATGTAGGATTATTACAATATTCTCCCTGGACATGTCAAGAGAAATCACTATCATCATTGACTTTAAACCTCTCAAAGTTTTATCATAAATATATTTTGATCAATTCCTTTGAAATTGATTGATATTTCTCAATATCTAGTCACAAGTTCAGGTATGGACAAATATGTCCGTCCACATCTATGTAAATCTGACTAATTTGCAAAACCATAGACATAGAGATACCATCAAGCACAATGTATCAAAAATCTTGATCTCATTAATTTTTACCTCTTCTCAAATTAATGACCACATTTTATCACTTTTCTTATGTTTAGAAATCCCTACATATGCATGAACCAAGTTCTGAATTAAGGCTAGTGTCAGAATTTTGAGTGAGCAGATATCAACTAGGCCAGCATCAGTATCAGCATTTTGGCACCTTGCTGTTATTGAAATAAACTCAAAGTGTCATATCTTGTTTTTTTGTGTTTTTTTAAGCTCTTTATGATAAACTGTACATCGTATGTTCCATAAACGAATTAAAAACCTGAATGATAAAGAAATTCACAATTTTGATAAAGAAATTCTCAATTTTGATAAAAAAATTCTCAATTTTGATAAAGAAATTCTCAATTTTGATAAAGAATTTCACAATTTTGATAAAGAAATTCTCGATTTTGATAAAGAAATTCTCAATTTTGATAAAGAAATTCTCAATTTTGATAAAAAAATTCTCAATTTTGATAAAGAAATTCACAATTTTGATAAAGAAATTCTCAATTTTGATAAAAAAATTCTCAATTTTGATAAAGAAATTCTCGATTTTGATAAAGAATTTCAGAACTACATTTTATTTGATTCTTCTAGTGTTAGCCATGTGTATAAATGGAACTGTTTGAACTCAATTTGACTGCATCACTAACGACACTCAGGAGTACTGGCCAGAAATATAACATTCATTTTTCAGCCTCTACCCTCATGTCCCTAGAGAGAGGGCCAGCAGACAACATAATGCAGTCCTTGTTTGTTGTTTTGGCTCCAGCAAAATTATTGAAATCAGTTTTCAGACTGTGTGTTTTGTGAAATTGACAAGCAATCCCAGAGGGATTTTGGCAAACATCATTAAATGATCTGTATAGGATCTTTATAAGAGACTGTATGTTTTGTGAAGTTGACAAGAGATCCCCGAGGGATCCTGGTGTACATTGTTGTATGACCTGTATTAAATGTCAATAAATTGCCACTTTTCTTTACTTTTTCCTCCAGATCTCTTGCTCTCCATTATATTTTATGTCACCAGGTGAATAAGTAACATGGTAGCATACATGTAAATTTGAAAAAAAAAACCCATCTACGACAGAATTGAAAGGACAAAGGTGAACCTACAAATCAATTTTAAGAGCAATCTGTCTAGACTTTTGTGAGGAAAATGATAATAAAATTTAACTCTCTAAAGTTAATATGACCACTATACTCAACCATTTTAATTCGCTTCTTCTGATCAGTCCCATATTAAAATAAAAAAAAATTTCACAGCAGTAGTAACTACGGGGAACCATACATATGAAATTTGAGAAAAACACCTTGTCATCTTTCGAAAAGATATCTATAACAAACTTACACCATAACATACTACTGGGTATAGGATTACACAAACTTACTGGGTATAGGATTACACAAACTTACTGGGTATAGGATTACACAAACTTACTGTGTATAGGACTACACAAACTTACTGTGTATAGAACTACACAAACTTACTGGGTATAGGACTACACAAACTTACTGGGTATAGGACTACACAAACTTACTGTGTATAGAACTACACAAACTTACTGGGTATAGAACTACACAAACTTACTGGGTATAGAACTACACAAACTTACTGGGTATAGAACTACACAAACTTACTGGATATAGAACTACACACACTTACTGGATATAGAACTACACAAACTTACTGGATATAGAACTACACAAACTTACTGGGTATAGGACTACACAAACTTACTGGGTATAGGACTACACAAATAGATATAGAACTACACAAACTTACTGGGTATAGAACTACACAAACTTACTGGGTATAGAACTACACAAACTTACTGGGTATAGAACTACACAAACTTACTGGGTATAGGACTACACAAACTTACTGGGTATAGAACTACACAAACTTACTGTGTATAGAACTACACAAACTTACTGGGTATAGAACTACACAAACTTACTGGGTATAGAACTACACAAACTTACTGGATATAGAACTACACAAACTTACTGGATATAGAACTACACAAACTTACTGGATATAGAACTACACAAACTTACTGGATATAGAACTACACAAACTTACTGGGTATAGGATTACACAAACTTACTGGATATAGAACTACACAAACTTACTGGGTATAGAACTACACAAACTTACTGGGTATAGGACTACACAAACTTACTGGGTATAGGACTACACAAACTTACTGGGTATAGGACTACACAAACTTACTGGGTATAGAACTACACAAACTTACTGGGTATAGGACTACATGCTAAAAATAAAAGATAGCATACTTACAGGAAACCTCCAAATTCTGGTGACCTCTTACAGGAGATTTTAAAATGAGTCTGAAACAATAGATAGAAGCACTTGTAGTTATGTACAAACCAGACATAATGAAGTGGATGAGAGGATAAAGAAAGGAAAATAGAACAAGAATGGATGACTGTTATTATTTTCCATTGTTTATTATAAAATGAGATTTTTTAGCATGCCATTATCTGTCATTTTTTTCCCTATAATGATTTCAAAATAAATACCAATGAATAGAAATGACATCCAAGCAAGTGAAACAAAGTAAAAATCACCTATTGATAGTGAACCCCTCTTAATGCCATATCTGTTAATGTAATGTTAACTGTACTCTATTTATGTAAACACTGAAGGGATTATACATGTTTCACAAACTGAAAAGTGTTGTTATTTGATGCGATGTTAGTTAAATGAACTACCATCATCAGAATTATTTCTAATATACAATGAAAACCACTCAATATCGTGTCTGAAAATGTGATGTTAAGTGGATCCATGACATCAACTGTTGATGTCATTTTTTCCCTCCTTTACCACAACTTGAAGTGAACTTGTTTAAACATCCAAGCAAAGTAATTCTTCATTAAGTTGGGATAAATATGCAATTCACTTTGCTTTCTCCCTTCACGCTACCAGTAAAATTTCACCATTTATTGAATTATCTTATCTGACGATACAGGCTATATTTCATGACTAACTTGTACAACCCTACTGTACTCAGGGTGCACATTTCTACAGTTCTGACTAAATATAGTAAAAAGAAGACTGTAAGCCAATGGATTACTTATAACACCTTCCCCCACCCCGTCCCCAACCTCCTCGTCCCCTTCCCTGTTTTCTATCATTTACAATGTTCACTTTTAGTACCATTATATTTGACATTTCTCAAAAACTCTACAAATTTTCAGCTTAAACAGACATTATCTTGATTTTGACCAATTAGAAGCCTCCATTTTGTTTCCATACCCATGGTTTGAGAAAACCTTATGTGCCAAAATATATATCATGATCAGTTATACATCACATGACCAGGTTTGAATAAAATTGAGCAAAGTCAAGAGCTGATGACCCATGGGCTTTTAAACGAACGTCCTTGTATTAAGGAAAATCACTGAAGCAAAGGAAACACATTACATAATTATTGTACAGCACTTACATCATCATTTGTAAGGCTTGTATTGCACTGACTGATCCTTATAACACATGCTAGACATCCCTTCGAGGACACAAATAACACAGTTATTTGTGAACTTTGAATAATTCACAACCTATTACACTGTGCCATAGTTTACATAATGCCATGACTATGTTGCCCCCTCTCTTCCCCAGGCCTATCTCAGGATAAGTTTTGACATAATACATCAATAGTTCAAAATTCTGAAATCTAAAACAGATACAAAAGATGATGAACCAAATTATACCCCACCATCCTCTTTCCCTCTATAAATAGCAGATATAATTTACTTCAGGTGTCTATGATCAGACATATTTTAGCATCTTAAAAAAACCCAGACTTTACATTCTGGTATTACAAATTCTTAACATTCCAGAAAATCATCACCTGAGATGACCTTGTAACCTAAATCTTCTTTCTTCTCTGTCTGGATAAGTGCTTCTAAATCACACACCTACATGTGTTACCATACTGTGTAGAACTTCAAAACTATTGCTACATATACTGTGTATTCTCACACCTATTCTTAAATACTCTGTATATCATCATACCTATTCCTAAATATACTGCAATATCATCACACCTATTCCTAAATATACTGCATTATCATCACACCTATTCCTAAATATACTGTATATCACCACACCTATTCCTAAATATACTGCATTATCATCACACCTATTCCTAAATATATTACAATATCATCACACCTATTCCTAAATATACTGTGTATCATCACACCTATTCCTAAATATACTGCAATATCATCACACCTATTCCTAAATATATTACATTATCATAACACCTATTCCTAAATATACTGCTATATCATCACACCTATTCCTAAATACATTTCAATATCATCACACCTATTCCTAAATACATTTCAATATCATCACACCTATTCCTAAATATACTGTATTATCATCACACCTATTCCTAAATATATTACATTATCATAACACCTATTCCTAAATATACTGCTATATCATCACACCTATTCCTAAATACATTTCAATATCATCACACCTATTCCTAAATATACTTTATATCATCATACCTATTCCTAAATATACTGCATTATCATCACATCTATTCCTAAATATCCTGCATTATCATCACATCTATTCCTAAATATACTGTATATCATCACACCTATTCTTAGATACATTTCAATATCATCACACCTATTCCTAAATATACTGTATATCATCACACCTATTCCTAAATATACTGCATTATCATCACACCTATTCCTAAATATACTGCATTATCATCACACCTATTCCTAAATATACTACAATATCATCACACCTATTCCTAAATATACTTTATATCATCATACCTATTCCTAAATATACTGCATTATCATCACATCTATTCCTAAATATACTGCATTATCATCACATCTATTCCTAAATATACTGTATATCATCACACCTTTCCGTAAATACATTTCAATATCATCACACCTATTCCTAAATATAATGCATTATCATCACACCTATTCCTAAATATACTGCAATATCATCACACCCATTCCTAAATATACTGTATATCATAACACTTATTCCTAAATATACTGTATATCATCACACCTATTCCTAAATACATTTCATTATCATCACACCTATTCCTAAATATACTGTATATCATCACACCTATTCCTAAATATACTGTGTATCATCACACCTATTCCTAAATATACTGTATATCATCACACCTATTCCTAAATATACTGTATATCATCACACCTATTCCTAAATACATTTCAATATCATTACACCTATTACTAAATATACTGCATTATCATCACACCTATTCCTAAATACATTTCAATATCATATCTATTCCTAAACATACTGCAATATCATCACACCTATTCCTAAATATATTACAATATCATAACACCTATTCCTAAATATATTACATTATCATAACACCTATTCCTAAATATACTGCAATATCATCACACCTATTCCTAAATATACTGCATTATCATCACACCTATTCCTAAATATACTGTGTATCATCACACCTATTCCTAAATACATTTCAATATCATCACACCTATTCCTAAATATACTGTGTATCATCACACCTATTCCTAAATACATTTCAATATCATCACATCTATTCCTAAACATACTGCAGTATCACCATACCTATTCTTAAATATACTGTGTATCATCACACCTATTACTAAATATACTGCATTATCATCACACCTATTCCTAAATATACAATATCACCACACCTATTCCTAAATATATTACAATATCATAACACCTATTCCTAAATATATTACATTATCATAACACCTATTCCTAAATATACTGCAATATCATCACACCTATTCCTAAATACATTTCAATATCATCACACCTATTCTTAAATATACTGTATATCATCACACCTATTCCTAAATATACTGCAATATCATCAAATCTATTCCTAAATATACTGCAATATCATCACACCTATTCCTAAATTTACTGCATTATCATCACACCTATTCCTAAATATACTGTATATCATCACACCTATTCCTAAATATACTGCATTATCATCACACCCATTCCTAAACATACTGCATTATCATCACACCCATTCCTAAATATACTGTATATCATCACACCTATTCCTAAATATACTGTATATCATCACACCTATTCCTAAATATACTGCAATATCATCACACCTATTCCTAAACATACTGCAATATCATCACACCTATTCCTAAATATATTGCAATATCATCACATCTATTCCTAAATATACTGTATATCATCACACCTATTCCTAAATATATTACATTATCATAACACCTATTCCTAAATATACTACAATATCATCACATCTATTCCTAAATATACTACATTATCATCACACCTATTCCTAAATATACTGCATTATCATCACACCCATTCCTAAATACATTTCAATATCACTACATCTAGTCCTAAATAGCTTTGAAAAAACATGTCTTCTAACATTGTTGAATTAAATTATGTTCCCTGTGCTAATGTAGGTTATTTGTCAGTGTTTATTAAAAGATAGGTTCCAGTGTATTTCCACCAATAACTTTCCTCATCAGGAAAAGGCAAGGTAATTTTTTCATCCCCCCCCCCCCCCTTGAATTCACATAGCCCTAAGCTTTCCATTTCTATAAACAACATATGTAAAGTCGTTTTGATTTACATGTAATGTCTGACCTTGTATCCATAATAACTTTACTTTCTCCATTGACTGAATCATTTGTGTTCTTGCACAAAGTTTTAGAAACAGAATTATTCAAAAGACATGACATATTGCAACTCTGAAGCATGGTTGTGTAAATAAATGATATGAATGATCTGATCAACACCTTACAAAAATATAACATTGTACAATAACCTAGACCAGACGAAACAGCCATTTAATTGTCACTTAACACACTTCTAGACCTATTCATACAGATAGCAAACATGCATGTTCTCCTACATAATGCAGCTATGCTTTGTATTGAATGCAAACCCTGTGTTTCCCTCTACTGAATGTGTAACAAACTGGAGACCTCTCATTACTGTGAGAAGTCAGAAAATGTGTTTTACTACTCGTACTCACTTAGGTTAACAGGAGGAAGTTTGATCTTATAGCCCTAATATACAGTCTGCTAATAAAATCTCCCTTCCTTATAATGTCAATCTTTGTCCCCACCAATATTGGCATTATATGGAGGGTATCAAATGTATCAAAAACAAAATTCAAATTTATTTATTTAGGATAAAAAATATTCTTGATTTGTTATGTTAGAAACAAAAATAAACAAGTTTCAGACAACTGATCAATACAAAGTTGATGAAACAGATACAACATGGAAAGACAGTCACAACTACATTTAACTAAATTAATTATAAGACAAGCTTAACAAATCTGAGATCACTTCTAATTTTTTGAAAAACAAATCAGCATATTTTAATTTTCTCCACAATTATTTGACAAACACATTTGGCATCATATAATACAGTTAATATTTTAAGTTTGATATATACTACATTGAAAATTTGAAACATGAATTGTCTCTTGTTTATAATTTAAAACATAATTCTGGCCCTAGATGGAGATATACTGCCCCTAGACCGATAGTCAAAGTAAATACATTGTCAGAGTAATTCAGACTAATGGAGGACTGCATCATATTTTCCTGTTATGTCATGTGTTTATGTTTTAATACATCCTATATGGGGAGTGGAATGATCGCATTATGTACTCAATGAATGCAATCATCCAAATTAAATATCAAAGGTAAAATTCGATGGAACAGGTCACATTCAGTTTATATCCTGATTATTTACATGCTAATGAGGCATATTGAGGTTACATCCCAATGAAACTCTTAATATCATTAAAACCCTGAAGTACTTCACAAGTGTTTTCTGTTTCCTTTATTTTAAGTGAGGCCAGCATTTTGTAGTTTGTGACAAAAACCAAAAAGCAGTAAATACATTGGAACACATCTGAATTTTTGTTCAAGGTGCATGGACATCTACATCCCTGCTGAGAGTCACCAGTCTGCGAGACGCTACATAAACCTTCTAGGTGATCAGTTGGTAATATGGTAATGTACTTGTCTTTCACTTAGGTGATTCCCGCATCAAATGAAAAGGTACAGGTCACCTGCCCGCAACTGTGGGTCTTTAAAATGAATTTGTTTTGTGTAGTCATGAGTGGAGATGAAGAAGTCCAAACGCTGCTCGGGTGTTGGAGGTTTATTGAGATGTAGACTATGGAGAGATGGAACACTTACATGCCTTCAGGAACCGATACATACTGGCTCTAAATGTGGTCGTATTTATACTAGCCATGTTAATTAACTTATAGAGTACTATTACACATTAGCTAACAGGTAAACATTGATTGAATTATACAGGAGTTATTGACATGGTCTTGCAAACATAAATGGCAATAGATATGGCTGTTTACATCAAGATAAGGTGATATTGACCTTCATACAGACTGCTTAGAAAGGCTTCAGGTAATGACTTATATAATCAGGGAACAAAATGATACCTGAACATGTATAGTAGATCAACAACAACAGAATGCTTCTGGCCACTGGTCAATACATAATTGTTCACAGTAGTAATAAATTAACAAAGGCAGATACATTATGATGAAACATCTGACTGATGTCTAGCACAATTTTGAATAACTCAATTAACTTACATATTAAGTTTTAATAGTTCATTTTCTCCCAGGTTCTCTGGTTTCCACCGACAATAAAATTGCTTGTGCACTTCTATCCAGGCCAATAAGAGTGATTAATATAAGCTGATAGTTTTGCAAAATATAAAAAAATACTAGCCTCAGCCAATGGGAATTTCCCTTTAGTCAAGTAGTAGGTTGTCTGGCTAGAGACTGAAGGGTCGCTAGTTCGAACCCCAGCAGAAGCAGGGTATTGTCATTACTACTTCCTTATACAGATTTGGTGCCTTTGACCACTCTGAGTGAAGAGCTATAGGCGATTGAGATGCTTCCTTGGAGATATTGATCCAAGGTTGTTGTTGTTTTCGGGGTCTGAGACTTTTTGATGGAGGGACTATTATAGAAGTTGAGAGTACACGTTAACTTACTAGCTTCAACTACTAGGAATTTCCCTTTAGTTGTGCAGCAGAGTGTCTGGCTAGAGACCAAAGGGTTGCTAGTTTGTACCATGCCAAGGGCAGAATGTCTTTCCTATCACAGAAGCAAGCTCTGTCAACTGCGTAACCGAGACAGTATACAACTCCTAATAACCTGCTCCTTTTATATTGCCAACACTGAATGGCAAGAAAACTAAATAATATTTATATAATATACTATTATCTACAACTGAAGCACTTTCAAAGTATGAATCTTAATTTTATACAGAAATTCTACATGTATCGATTTCAACCCAAGTTCTTATAAAACTTTCTTCGATATATATACCCACAGTAAGTTAATTGGTAGTAAATGTGATGTAACAAGCTTGACCATTAAAATAGGTGGAAAGTCATTTCTTTTTACAAAACTTTGCAGTACTCAATACCAACAAGCTACTGGCATGACTGTTTTCAAAATAAATTTGACCGCTCTAACCTTGAACAATTAGCGATGGTAATTTTTTCACAAACTTTGTTCCTACTCATCATAATAATCTACTGACCAAGCATAGCATGTGCCTTACAAAGAAATCAGTGGTTCTTCGAAAGTGTGTGTGGTTTGAATGAAATATTTTGACAGACTACTGATCAGATGGACATCTAATGGTACTGCCATAATATTGACTTTATAAAAGGTAGGTCAAGTGAGCTAAAACCAAACCATCAGAATTATCCCAGACTTTTTCTGCTGTTTTACTAATAATTTTTCATGAATTCTGTGGCTTAATTTTGAAAACTTAATTATTTTAAAAGTAATTAACTTACAGGATATTTAAACAAGAGGTCCAAAGAGTCTAAGCTCACATGAAAAGCAAAGAAAATAAAGACAAAATATTTTATACGGCATATCTAAATCTAAATGTACTGATTCAGTCTGCATTCATATTCATTACAACATCAGAAGGGGAATTTTCCTTTTTATTTCCTAATATTAAATTTCAAGATAACAAAACCAAAGCTCAAGTGAGACTGGTATCAATATGTATCAGACAGTCTGCATGACACACAGTTTCATTGTAACAGACACGGGTTTTTAACCGAATGAACTTAATTAAAATCATTGACCACAATTTGGTTATTCCTATGCTAATTAGCAGGTAGGGCCCTGCTATTTGTCCCCGAGTTCATTATCGCGTGCTCTGTACCTAATATACATATTCGCACCAATAGGTAGGGCACAGACGGTCGAAGTTTATTACCGTCTGATAACACATCCATTTCATGGGAAAACTCAATTCGATCGCGACTGCCAACCGGATAACGTCTGCCCGTGTCTCGGTGGGGAACATCAAGATTCTTTACTCTAATATACAATATACATCTCTCATAAGAACCAATCTTGCATCATGATGACACATGCCTACGGCTGATCACGTTGATATAGGCTGTCACCACATGCGCACCAACAAAAATGATGGCACATGTGCCGAACTAATATTGTTATCGATATTATTAATAGTTACCGTTTTTTTGCTTTCCGTCCAGTCTTTATTATCGTGGTAGTATTGTTGTAATGTGTCGGCTACTTCTTCTCCAAGTTTTCTGTATGATTCCGGTGTTTTTTGTCCGTCACTCATTTTTGTTAAAGTAAGTCAGTCTCCGCTATAATAACACCTGTGATACAGTGCCTACACCGGGTACCGTTGTGTATGTCACAAGCACAGTGAGCATGCACTATAAACCTAAAACGTGGTCATGTGATCTAGTGACCCCATCAGAGGTTACGCGGGGAGCAGTCATTTTAAAAACTTTTCGGTGAATAGGTTGGCTTTGTTATTCATTCAATGCTAATGGCATGTAAATAACATTTATTGCCTTTTACATCAGTTTTATAACACCAAAAATATACAATGCCGACTCAAAAATTAGATTAGGGACAGAGATATACGGTTAGAAAATTCTATGATTTTTAAGTTGAACTACCAGAGTTATATCCCTTCTTTTCACAGTGAGCTTGACTGTTACGTTTCCTGAGATTTTGTCATATAACATGTTAAATTTCACTGGGAAAAGGTAAAATATTCCAAAGGCCCAATAGTCAAACTACCTGTATGAAGCGTACATTCTATTTTTCCCATGTGGAAATTATTCTTTGTCTTATTTCTGCACTGGAAATACATTTTTTTTAAACATTTTGATCAAATTGTTAGTTTTTAGTGCTAAGTCACTACATAATTAAAGAAAATAAAAAAGGAAACAGTAAAGGATTCAAATGCGACATATACAACAGCGACACATATGATTTACTATATAAAATTCCCAAAACATGCATTTTGTGTCTAGATTATGAAATATAGAAGAAAAAAAAAGAGTGAAAAAATTTTGTATATCTATATAAAGGTTGAGTTCTGCGTGTTGCAAATCGGAAATTATTTCAATAAACTAAGTATATATGTATTTTGTATAAAGGGTCTAACTTCAGTTTACACTCATAGGTATTAAATCTATGAATGGTTCATGAACAATTATATCTTGGCTGTACAAGATTGCACAAAAGTGATCTTTTTCCATGACATACATATGGTTCACATTTTCCAGTCACAATGCAATTTGTGAATGTGTGCGTCATTTCATTATCTAAACATGACGTCACAATGACAATATTACACTTGGTAATACTTAAAATATCACATAGGTTATAAGCGTTTTTATTGAATTAAACAGAAATAATGCGAATAAATATGTTTATGCATAAATTTAATCGTTCCATGCTTGAGTTCAAAATAGAGGAATTATCGAAATTTTATAACCAAATTTTCCTTAAAGTACCAGGTATGTGTTGAAACATGACTGTGCCTGCAATGTATTTCAGCGATAAGGTATACGGTTTACCTTTCTAAAAGTTGTGTTTTCCAATTTACAAATAAACTGACAGTTAATATAGTTCCCGGCCATAACATTATAATTAAATCAAGAAAGTATCCCTTCTAATCATCAGCTGCATAATATAACTAATTTGCCAATATTTTCACTCCATTGAAAACTTTTATTATTTTCTTTTCCTTACTAATAATATGAAATTTCATTCTAACATATCTTACCTTATCTATTTTAATATAAACGTGGGTTAGTGGGTTAAGTCAACTATTGTATACAGTGACATGCCATGTTTTTCACATCCACTTCCCCCTCCCTCCCATTTTCTTTTTACTCGATACTATTTGTATTTCTAATCATTTCCAATGAATTTTCCTGACTTCCTTCGTGGATCATGTTTAATGAAATTTTGTATACTTTTGGAGAATTGTTTCCTACTTCATCTCATGTTATTTCCATTGTTATTCGTTGTGTATTACCAGGGAAACAATAATTTATTTACAACATGCAAATTTCGGGACGCCATTTTGACGAGCCATCCCTAAGAATACATCATAAGATATAAAAAAAATTAAGAAAATAATAAGAAATCCTGAAAGACTTTTTTTTAAGTCACTGTAGCTATGGAATCGGACCTGTAAACAATAAACATTGGCATCTATAATGCATGTTTTATTTTTCTTAATCTATAATGGCACCAGTACCATTCTAAACACTTTATACAGTCCTGCGGATGGAATTTGACATGGCGGCCCGTGTGAGACCCGCCTATCCACGCACGATCTTTGTGTGAAAGAGAGTGCGCTGTATACACTCATTCAGACTAAAAGGTTTTATCTGATTTTCAGTAAGGGATTAACCAGTATTCAAATATTAAACATATTAACCAGGATATGAAGTCATCATCATATCCACCCTTTTTTCATGAGCGCCAGGATGAAGTAAAAAATAAAGCAAAAAAACTCATTTGTGTAAGGCAACAACAGGGCGAGGAAAAAAGTCTTCTAAGACTGTTCAATATCTAGAATTCATACAGACAGTTTTACATCATGAGGGGGTGCATGCCGCATGTCCTTTTGGGATGCAAGACAGAAAAAACCAACTCAAACAAAAAGGGTTTGAAAAAATTTGGCGTTCCAGATGTATGTGCTAACAAAGTGGACACAAGTATGCGTTCCTCAAGAAGTTTTGCGTTTTGTAACAGAGCCTTATGGAGATATGTACCATGAGAAAAATAAAACGACAATGTACAATTTACCATATCTTTAGTTATGACTGTTAGATCTTTTTTAATGCACCATATGAACCAGGTAAGACTTTTCAATGCTAAATTAAAAAAAAAAAACTAACATTTTCAATCAACAACAGGCATACCCTAGTTTTGGAGTATTGGGGATGGGATATTGCTTTATTCACAAAATTTAGAATAAAACGGGAAGATCAATTGTCACTGAGCACGGATACCTTTTTTATGTAACGATCACAGTTCTTGAGAATTCGTGTGTAGGCAAAGTACGTGAAAATGATTATAAAAATGAAATAAAAAAGAGAGAAAAATAAAAAGCATGGAATACATAAAATGGAATATACAGTGTTTGTATCTTGGACAATTTTGTCGGAAACGGAAGGATATAGCGTCCCGTTTGTTCACTTTTTGTCACTTGTTGTAGTGACTTAATTTTCAAATGTATTTAGTTTGGATGATGATGATGGTTTCTCATCTCCGTGACTGCCCATTGCCAGGCATGGTCCAATCGACGTGTCGATTCTCTGGCGAGGTGCCTGTCTTCTTTTCCTACCGAATCTCCAGGCTGTCTTACTATGATTACTAATTTTTGATCATGGGAAATTTAGAAGTCCTTTCCTAATAGAATAAAAATGACATGAGGCTGAATGTGTTATGTTTAATTTGGGCTTATTCGGGCTCCTGGGCGGCGTTAAGCACCTACTCTTATTATCAATAACAGCAGGAGGATCTTTTTCATGCGAGGTTGGACAATTCTCACACAGGCCACCATTTAAAGTCCCGTCCGCCGGGCTATTAGTTATTAGTTGGTGCTGGTGTGAAAATTACTACTTTACGTCCCATCTGCTTAACCTTCCGACCACACTGCAAGTAAACTGCTCTGCTTTCCAAAATGTCTATGACTTTCTGTAATTCCATTCTGCTCCTTCAACATACATTGTTTCACATTACGGACTTGTGTGTATTTGTGCTAATGTGCTTGTTTTTGAAAGGGGTTAGCGATGTTTATGACGAGATGTTATGTTGGAGTAAAAAGTGGTATGTTAGTGCAAGGTTATTCAAGATGGATAGCGGGATTTAATACTCAGGGTAGGCATGGAGGATTTAGGTTATGTTATGTATTTAGAAGTGGTACCATGTTAGTACTAGAATTTTTATTTTTTTTTAACCAGGATAGGGGTGGAAGGATTTAGGATATGGTTGATGAGGTTTAAGGTTAATGTTGTGTATGAGTGATGAGGTTAGAGGTTAACATTGTGTATGGTTGATGAAGTTAAAGGTTATTATTGTGTATGGTTGATGAGGTTTAAGGTAAATTCACTGTATGGTTGATGAGGTAAGAAATTGATATTGTGTATGGTTTATGAGATTGAAGGTTAATATTGTGTGTGTTAAATGAGGTTGAGGTTATCACTGTGTAATGTTAATGAGGTTAAAGGTTAATACTATGTATGGTTTATGGGGTTTAAAGTTATAGGTTAATGCTGTGTATTATTTATGGGGTTAGAGATTAATATTGTGTATGGTTGATGAGGTTAAAGGTTAATACTGTGTATGGTTGATAGGTTTAAGGTTAATACACTGTTTGGTTGATGAGGTTAAAGGTTAACATTGTGTGTGGTTGATGAGGTTAAAGGTTAACATTGTGTGTGGTTAATAAGGTTGGAGGTTATCACTGTGTTATGTTGATGAGGTTTGAGGTTAATATTGTGTATGAGTGATGAGATTAAAGGTTAATATTGTGTATGGTTGATGAGGTTAAAGGTTAATATAGTGTATGGTTGACGAGGTTTAAGGTTAATACACTGTATGGTTGATGAGGTTAAAGGTTAATATAGTGTATAGTTGATGGGGTTTAAAGTATCACTCTGTATGGCTGATGAGTTATTGGTTAATACTGTGTATGGTTGATGAGATTTGAGGTTAACACTGTATGGTTTATGGTGTTTGGAGGTTATCCAGTGATATGTAACAACACTACATTCTACTTCACCTTCATAGTCAGCTATGAGACTTTGTGAACTGAATCCATGAATACATTGGCGGGAATGAAAAAAATATTTCTTTTAATATCTTATAAATTTAACACATATGTAAGTTATCAGGTTTTGAAAAAGTAAAAAAATAACAACAAAGAACAAGAAAAAGGAAGAATACTCAGTTTCCATGTTTATTTCTAGTTTTTATACATTATACATATATATGTAAACAAGCGGACCACATGATTAATACCCAAGTAAGCATCCTATATATCATGGGGGTATATTACAGAGCTACTCACTCTACAAACAGTATCATACATCATCGACATGAATTCTGAGATATCACAAAGAACCTTATACCAAGCAAGGGTGAATGATGTACTCTCTTAGGAACAAATAAAGTATATAATCCTTCTATGGTAGAGAATTACCAATGGGTGTGGAGGATTAATACTAGCAGCCAGAGGGAATCATGAGGTATCAGTCTAGGACATAGAAAACTATAAGAAACATGAAAATCTGTCAAATTTCTAAACTTCATTTCACAAGCTACAACTTTTATGGAATTTTACAATTTAGATGTCAGTTACAATTTGCATTTTGACAAATAGTAATTTTTGTACATGAAATTTAAGTGCAACTAATTGGCCTTTTATATTGATTTTAATACTTAAGATAAAACATGTGCAAATTAAAACTTTACAAAGGATGTGTACAGAACCAAACTGCATGGGGCTCTCTACCTTAACAGTTAATTGGTAAATTATTGCCTGAGGGATATAGTATTATGAGAAAAAAATCAGAAATATACAACAGATGAAAAATAAACTAGATCAGGGATTTATGATATAGAGGAAACTACCTATACCTCTTTGCAATGCTATATTGAAGAAAGTCGAGTTAAATAGCCTTGCTGTGTTTTTAAACCATTTTTCTCAGTAAGTACATAACCAATTTTCTCCAAATAAACAGTAGTCAAAAGCTTAAGAATTTTCAAATCGATTGTGCTAATTTCTGTGACAAAAGACTTTTTACTTTTGAAATTCATTTAAAAAAACATGCATGTTTAAGCTATTTAAAGCTGAATACCACATTCAGCTTGAAATATGAAGACAACAATATTCAAAGAAATGGCAATGAAAAACCAAGTAATCTTCTGACTCCTGTAAAGTTAGTGACATCACTTTAATTCATCAGTATTAGTTTTGTTAAAAATGAAAAAGAGATTCACTTCTCCTTGGCCAACAAAATGGTTCTGGTCAGACCAGTCAGTGCAAAATCCCCATTTACTGTAATATGGGGCATAGGTAGATAAGATTTGATAACAGCTGTGATGGAGAAGGGATCTCAATGATGTCACGGCTCAGTGAACAACAAAACAGCTACATCCTTCACTGGGTTTAGTTTCTTAAACCTCTTTTTTCTATATCTGTAGTAAAAATAAAAATTGAAAAATATTGATCTTCTACAGCAGTTTTATCATGTTTCAAAAAACAAATCTCATGTCAGTTAAATACAGAATATGAATGAGAGTATAAAATGAACAAACACACAATAACATATGTTAAAGAACTTAAATATTCAACCAATGAGATTGATAAACATATGTAAAGATGTAAAAAATTCTTTTAACACCCCAAAAAACAAAATATTGCACAAAGTAGACCATGAATAACAACAGTACAGTGTAAAACATATATACATATTTATACCGTAAACAAACTTTCTTCTCCTGTAATTGAATTTCTTGAATTTCAATATCGAAACAATTCCTTAAAAGTCGATTCTTTTTACCAATGATAGGAATGATGAAAAATGACAAAAGTGTTTCAGTTCATTCTGGTTTGGTATTGCGCAAGTAAAAAGTCACAAAAGAAAGCTTGTTTACAGTATGCAGTTTTGTTTCCCACGGCATACTATGGAAAGTGTAAATTAAAGTGTATATTCTAGGTTAATATATCATAATACATCATGAATGCATCAGTGATTAACAAATAAAATACCATGGTACACATAAAAAGAATATTTCACTACCATATTCTAACTGTACAAATTACCTGAACAGCTCCGAAGATTCTGACAATTTAAGCTTAAAAAAATCCTAAATAATAGTTTAATTGACTCCAAAAATGGCTTCACTTTTTTCTTGTGTTTCTAAATCTCTCTAAATTGTCTTTTCCAGATCATCAAAACTTTTAAATCCTTTTACAAAAATATGCATACCTATCTATTCTGCATTAAGTCTAAATGACGGACATATTGCTAGTAACTCCCAGTCAGGGAGCAGACTTATTACAGGATGATGAAATGGCACCAGTTATTCATTGTATGGAATAGTGATAAATATTATTAGAATTATTGCTGGTTTGGGCTTATTATTGGAATAAAATACAGTACATATAATTGACTGGCCCAGACTATGTGCGGCTCTTCTTGTAAACAGGGAATCATAAGCATTATCCCTAAATGGGTAAAAAAATTGATTTATTGGAAAGAACTGACAGATCTAAATTGCCCATCTGAATACATTCCAATAACATTTCTATCACAGATACTATTTTGACGGTTACAGTGTAAAATCATATTGAAGCATGGTAGTAATCAAAATCACACCGGGTTTCCTAGCAATGAAGTATTAAAAAAGCAAAAATATTTGATTTGGAGAAAAAAAGATATCTATCTGCACTTACGTACAAAGGCACAACAACTGATTGTCAAACAGTTGATAAAATACAGATACAGTTATTAGCATTAATTTTCCATGTATCCACAATTTATCTTGATATCTTAAGCTTCAACTTTGAATACCGGGATAATTCTTTTTCAAAACAATATATTTAATACCTGAGACAATTTAATCATAAGAATATATCTTGGATAAAATTGAAAATAAAATTAAAGTGGTTTTTTATACCACCTTCTTAATTCATATGTTTTTTTTAAAAGGAAATAAGTTTTTTAGCTATTTTGAAATAAATCTTGCAAACCTCATATCATCTTGACAGATCTAAACATGGTACACATAATCTGCAGTTATAACTATGTTAAAAGATGTCCTCAAAATGCCTGTTATTGTAAATTGGATTTTTGAAGTTTTATGTTTTATCCTGAAAAATGCAAGGTGCTAGTAAGGAGAGATTTGTCAGTAATGCTAAGTCACTTAATGGTATAGCAGTTTTTCCTCATGGGCTAAGAATACAACAATATACTTAAAGATTATAATCATTTTGAAAAATTGATAATAAAACTTTTGTTTATCTACATATAGTCTTCAGGAAAGCATTTCTAATTGTATCAACTTTGGGCTGACACGTTACCTTAAACATTTTGATGGCATATTATCTTCAGTTTGTGGAGGAGTTAATTACTTCAAATATTGACAGACAACCCATTACAATGACCAACAACCCATACAACAATAGACAACTAGGTAAAAGATGATGATCAATAAAATGTTACAACAATTTATTATATCTTCACTGGTGATATACAGCGAAATATCAAACGGACACTTTTGAGAAACAGCTATCATCTTGCAAAACTGACCAATCAAAATTCCAGATACAAAATTACAAAAAGTAAAATGTAAGCAAAAGTCTATTTAATGGTGTTTTCAGTATGAAGACATAAGTAAATTTCATTGGTGTTGCTAATAATTTGGTACTGTATCTTCAAATTTGCCGTGCAATCAAGAAAGATACCAAAATGTAAGCCGAACTTGGCTAATATATTTATCATTTCTGAAGACTTAAGGACTCTTACAACTAAATCAGCCAATGACTGATTCGGATTCAGTTTCGTCTACCTACATAGAGCCCCCACCTAAAATCAGAGTTGGTAACAGATTGTGTTTACTGGGATTTCTTAATTTATAAATGGTGACAGATATCTTCATGTGTTTGGCTTTATAAAAATGTGCAGTTTTTATACATATCAGTATCTGTGGGGCAGTCTTAGACAGGTGCAAAATGTCATGGTTTTTCCTTAAGTGGGTGGTTATTTCACTTGTAAACTTCTGGTTGTTGACTTCTGAAGCAATGATAGTCTGAGATGCCATTTAACTTACCAAATTATGCCATTTGTAGCCTTTAACCAGTATGTTTCTATAAATCTAGACAGTTGTTACATGTATTGAACTTCAAATATCAATGCTATTAGCTTAAATGCTAAGTAATAACATAAAATGATTGATCCAGTTGTGCGAGTCCTTAATAGATTAATATATCCTCAATGTGTTCATCAGCTGAAAGTACATAAAATCGACAATACAGTAAGCAAAATATATGTATTACTACATCAATAAGTACATGACCCTTCACAAAATGATAAAGGTAGGAGGGCTAATTATAGGAAGTAAAGAAGTTATTTTGTTGGTGATTCTCCTGAAATAGCAAAGAATAAAGTGTATCTCCGACTGGGAAGCAAACTTTGACAGTACAGGCCACAGAAATCGATATAATATATACACACAAAGCAAAACTAATCATGGTCAGTGATGATAAATTTGATCATTTGACATTTACTATACACTGACAGTTCCATCTAATGCTTTCACAAATGCCACTAAACACCAACCAATCATTGCTGTGCTTCCATCTTATGACACAGACACAGGAAGTTAGTTGCGCTATGGCTGTCAAGACATGCACATCACAGCTTCTGGTTTCACTACAAGAGCACATTACAAATTGCTTTGGAGAGATTGATCTTTTTGAAGTACTACTACCAAAGTCACCATAGTTGATGAGCAACAATGCCTTTAATATCATCATAACTTTTCATTCCTTCTACATTGAAGAGTTCTCTATTTTCAATATCAAAAGGAATTGTGGCCCTTGTTTCCAATGCTATGAAGAATTATGATTTCTGCTTGTAATAAGGGTAGGAGGGTGTGAAATTGGTAAAATGATCTTCTGTGTCTGCGCTGTTGCTGTTTTGACGCATAATCCTGACTCGGTCTGTTGTCATACATTCCTCATAGCTTGGCGGGGCTGTGAAATACAGATATACAACATTGTCAGGTATTCCTGTCTTGTCTTGGCCAGTTACAGTCCCCTACCATTATAAATGGTCATATGATGATATTTGTCCTATGACATTATAAACTTGTCTAATCATGATACAATGTATGTCCCTTAATCACTAAGACATCACACAACACTTGTCTCTTAACATCAAAAATTTTCAGGAAAATACATGATTTCCTTCATCATATCATAAATAAATTTTAAACTTCTTAAACTTGAGTTCAGCATCATCGCTATTGCTCTATGAAACAAATTAATCCTAATGTGAAATGACTGATTGTTACTTCATGTACTGAGACGTCGTAATTGATATAAATATATAATTTCATCATTTTTAACCAGAAGACCAAAATTATATCTCTGTTACATACTGATGAGATGCCAAGCTATACATTTGCAGAGACTTTGCTTAAGTGAATGACAGCATTAATATGACCTGATTCAACTATTGACTACAGAATTAGCAGCACATTACCATCAGCAGGGTATGGGGGCTGTGAAGTGATTGGTTGAGCGGAGGCCATGTTATTCATTGGTATATTGCCAGGCTGTTGGTCAGGGTTACTACCCCAGGTTGTTTCTAAAGGCTGTCCTGGCTGAAATGGGGCAGGAGATTGGAACAATCCCTCAGGACGCAATGGGATAGTTCCAATTATGATCGGCAAATCAAAATTAATGTCCATTAAAGACCCTTCCATATCAGCAGCAAGCTGTGAAAGATAGAATGAAATGAGAAATAGCTAGTTCATGCCAAACTGAATTTCTTCCATGACTTCTTTCAGACAAATTTGATAAATAAAAAAACAATGACAAACTGGAAAAATTACCAAGTGACCAGCAGGTGCTCACAATTCTTACCACACTAAATCCTGACATTTTTATTTCAAAAGTGGTCAACCATTGACCCTTTCACCTTGACCAGTGACCACCAAAATATAATCAGGTGTAGGACTTCATGTTATGGTACCATGTCGTGAATATCAATAAAGTTGTCTAGGGTTCCTGGTTTCATGAGATATCTAAGACAACAAGCTCTGCATTTCAAACATGACAGAGTGGGACATTGACCCTTCAACCCTGACAACTGTTCAACAAAATATAATCAGCTGTAACAGTTGATAGAATGATTCCATGTAGTGAAGACTCTGGTATTAACAAAATCTGTTCAAGGGTTCATGAAATATTTACTAGTCTGATTTTTTATCTTCCACCTTCAACAAAAAATCTGGAGTAAACTAGATGTAGTGATACCATGATATACTTAAGAACTAAATCAGGGATTCATGAGATCTGTACAAAAGTTTTGAACATTGCTGTGTAATGACAAAGTGATCTATACAATTCACCCCCTCCTCATCTTCCCTTCCCTATCCCTAACCCCATGACATTTCAGCACCCCCTCCAATGCCTACACCATCTCATCTATGATAGTTCAGCAAAGTCAGTATTTGATAAATTAATAGTAATATTTAAACTGCACTTTATGCAAAATATGCATTGTATCGTTTTGTCTCATTCAAACTGTAAAGGTCATGATAACAAAACGTTCCTAGCTCATAAATCTTGATTATTTGTTCAGATGATAGAGCCAACGCCGTTCATTCAAGTTAGGTGGTTTGTAGGTTCCTCCACTCCCCAGCTGGATACCTCAGGTATGCAGGGTGATTGAGCAAGAGAGAAAATCTGAATATAAGTATCAATCACCACAGTCTGCAGAATGGTTGTTCCTTGTATTTATAAAATACCGTCTACCGGTTTCGCCCTCCCAGGCTTCTTCAGGATCTATTTATATAATACCGTCTATCGGTTTCGCCTTCCCGGGCTTCTTCATGACGTCCTGAAGAAGCCCGAGAGGGCGAAACCCGTAGACGGTATTATATAAATACACGGAACAACCACTCTGCAGACTGTTGTGATTGATACTTATATTTTGATTATTTGTTTTGTCATACAAACATTTTTGTTTTTTAAATTAATTTCTATTAATTAAGTGCTGAAGTACAACTACCTACCTTTGATCTTAGACATAAACAGCTCATCACTGTTTGAAATATCCCATAATGAGGTGAATATAAACTGGCCCTAGAGGCAACAAAAAAATTCAGTCCTTCTGGTTCCCGGTGGGGTTAGAAGACTGATAAAATAGAATATGTCTGTGAGGCATGAATGACCCTCTTCCTCCTACCCAAAGAATTTATTATTGCGAATATCTAACTTTATTAACAAATTTTATGAACCTTTCAAAATCCCCCAAAAAATTAAAATCCCAAAACTTACATGTTTTCTTCTTCTTATTGTAAATACGTGAGTAATACATTCATTCTAGTTGTGAATCCATCAATTATAAATGGATACCAGTCAGCATGCAAATTTCTTATCAAACATTATATGCCTCACAACCAATATCAAATACTGGGGACATAAAAAGAATAATGATTTATGTTACAGAAATGTATGCATTCTTATTAAAAACAAGTAATTATGTACATCATTGAATATTTTTGTGGCAGTCCTTACCTGACATGTGTACTGTATGTCAATGATCGAACATCCATACAAATAGGATGGTGGGGTTGGTAGAACAGCAAGTTGTTCACCACTCCAAACATCAGAGTGCCCTGGACCAACGGCTGGATGGGAAATCGTTGATATTACTTTATGATGCTTTGTTGTACTTCCATGTGCCCTGAACTCTGTGGTCTGAAACGGAGACCCATAAGACTTATATAGTATTTGTTTTACACATGCTTAGTGGATGTACAGGTAACTGTTCGAACAAAACGAAACAGTAAAATGTATATCTAATTTAAAATTCTGCGACTAATACTGTTTTTGTATAAAAGGAAAAAAAAATAAATATCAAAGTTATTTTTTTCTTGTATTTTACATTGCGAAATCAGAAATGTCTGTGAAATATTTCCAGGAAAAATAACACATTTTAATGAGAATATTCAATAATGTATTTATAATAATTTCTTGAATCTTACAGACCTTTATACTCAAGAAAATAGAAAAGAAAAATTAGAAAGTAGAAATTTGACAAAAACCAGGTAAACCATAATTTACCATACGCAGACTAATATTGGTATTTCGTATTGATGAAGTTCCATTATTGGTGACTTCTGCGTTGATAAATATGCTCTCCCCGGGAACATAGCCCTGTTTGTCTAAACGTATCATGCATGTTACAGGGCCTGTTTCACAGCACCAACAACATCCAGTTTTAGTGTCCTGCATCTGGGTTGGCATCTGACGATGAAAAAAAAAACAATTGACAATGCTCCTCAAACATCACTGCTACTAAGGTGTGCAGGTTTGCACGTAAGCCATTTTCCTTTCATACAGTGATGCGCAAAACTTCAACAACTTTCAGCAGAACAATATACATTCCGTGCCAAGGAGAAAAACATTATTGTATTGAAATGAGCACAAATATGGAAATGGAAATATTGCGTCAAAATGCTGTAAGGAAAAACCAGTGATATCTGAATGTTTTGATGATTAAAGCATACTTAAAGAGATGAGTTAAAAAATGAGAGAAGAAACCTCAGAACCAGAAATTTTAAAAGCTGCAAAAAAACCAAAGGGCAACAACTCTTTCCATTATTACTAATTCTCATGTAACAGTTATAAAGCTTACCATGTTTTAAGGAAATTGCTTAAATTCTGAGTGAGGAGATAAATAAAGATAAAAATACTGAAAAAAGCTAGAAGTCCAATTGGCCTGCAATGCTCACCTGGTTATATATATATATATACACCAGTAAAATACCATGCTTCTAGGCCTATGAGTTAATGAGAAGAAGCTGTTTACAGGTTTTAACAAATCTGATCCCTTGAATATAGACCAAGGAGATTTCTTTTCAGAAACTTTGTCAGGCTTCATTCTGGGAACATAACAGCCATATATCAAAATATTTGGTCCATTGGTTATTGAGGAGAAGTTGTTTAAAGAAAAAAAAGCCAACGACGGTTGACAGATGACGGACGCTGCGCCACAGTATATGCTAACTTTTGCCTTCAGGCCAGATAAGCAGATAAAAAGCAACAACATTCTAAAAATTAGAATATCAAAATGCCTTTCAGGAAAACACAATTTCCCTTCATAGTGATTAAGCCTACCAAGAAATCTGCAGTTGAAAACTGAGAGTGTCCAGACATGATTAAGATTTTGAAAACAAGTGGCAATTCTTCCAAAAAAATATACATTAAAATAACACTTCCTGTGAGGAAAACACAATTTCATGATCAGGTGATTATGCCTACCAAAATTAAAAGAGATTGGTTGAAAACATTGGCAGGAGATATATGTACAATAAACAAGAGATTCCAGAGGAATCTTGGTGCCCACCATTGTTTGATCTTTATATACCCTTTGAAAGTTAGATCTTTTCCCTTCTTATTTCTTCCCTTCTATGTTTTTGCTCTTAATGATAAGAATTTTGAAGATTCCTTTGCAGAAATAGTGATGATAATCTATACTTGCCAAATCTAAAATGGTTACCTCAAAGTCATTTTGTTTCTTGTGACCAGTCCCAAACTCAAACAGGCACAACTAGGGACCAAGAGGAACCTACACATGAAATTTGAGTAATATCTATTCAGTATTCCTCAAGAAAAAGCGATAACAAACTTTCAAAGTCAAAATCCAAGATGGCTGCCTTTCGGCTATTTTGCTTTTCTGATCAATTCCTAAATTAAATGAGCACAGCTAGGGACAATGGGGAGCTAACATAAGAAATTTGAGAGAGGTTCGTCCAGCACTTCTTAAGAAATAGCGATAACAATTTTGCAAAGTCAAAATATAAGATAGCTTACTGTCCACCTATTTTTTTTCCCTGATCAGTGACAAAATTAGATGGGCCCAACTTCATTTCATTTTTCCATTCATTTATTAACTTAAGGCTGGACGGCCCATCAGTAGAGCATGTTCATACATGTACATTACACAACAAGGCAAAAACTATGTATGCAGTGAAGAATGGAACACAAATTTAGCTTTTTAAGTTGTTTGCTTCAGAAATGTATTTACCAAGTCGACATAATTCCTTGATATTATTAACACACAAAACTTGTAGAGCTTTAGCATAGATGGTTTTTACGTATTATACTTTTACATGTTTATATGTATCACATATTAAAATGGAATGTTATTCATCTTCGACTTCAAAGTCTGAATTACAAAAAGTACAATATCTTTGAGCCCAAGTAACATTACGATATCTACCTGTCCCAATTGCAGAATGTGTAGATAAATGTAATTCTTCTGTATTGTCAAATAACACTGCACAGAAAAGTGATCTACAATATGTTTATATAAATAACACTTATGTTTGTATATGTTTGTATAAATAACACTTATATTTGTATAAATAGCTTTTAGCGAAAGAATCTAATAAAGCTCTTAACGACTGGAGTTGGTCGAAAATTCTTTGACGTATAATTGGCAAATTTTTTTTACATCAGATGCTGACCGGCTTAGCCATACAACACCTAAGCTCAAAGCAAACAATTCATTCTTAACATAATGAACCCAATTAAAGCCCCAATATATGTAACAGTCACCAAAAATTTAGTGTAGAATCACACATAATTATTGAGATATTCTCTAAGATGTAGTTAGAATTAAGTTATTCAAACAATAGTTACCATGACTTTGTGCATAAAGTATTGATATATGAGCAGTTGAAACTCGCTATTTGTAAACACACCCCCATTTTAAGCACGCCGCCATCAAAATTACGATTGTTGCCGAACCACGTCGGAAAGTTCATGACCTGATCTTGCGAGAGTTGAGGTTTCTACTTATAGAGGAAGCACATGCAGATATGTCTACGGTAAGTTTTTGTTTACAAACATTGTTTGCGAAGACTTGAGGTATTCCTGTGATAAACATTCAGTTTTTGGGAAATTATTAGAAGGAATAATTAGTTTAGAAACGATACGACGCACAATTATAACGTAAGAATTCAGAATTGGCCTGATGTATGATTGGAAAGAAAGGAAGCGACTGGTGAACGTCTGTACTGCGTCTGCCATGTTTACACACACGGAATATGCGCATGCGCAATGTCATTGCTACGAGCGGTAATGTATGAATTATTGTGGGTCCCACATTGTTTATTTTCCGATTTTTTTCCATTTTTATTTAAATTGAAAACAGTCAGTTTTATTTTCTTTAATTAAAGGAAAGTATCTGTTTTGTTACATATATTACGGGGAAAATAAGATAAAGTTTGTTTTTTCATAGTGATTTTTACGTATATTGGAGCTTTAAAGCAAGTTCCTGGGCTCCTTTCTGATAAAAAAATTTATGCTGTTTTCAAGATAAAATTATCAGAGCAAAGTAAATTAAACCAATACTTTACAATTCTATACTTCCTGATACATGTTAATGGTTATTATTATTATATTTTTAACGGCCCGTCCACACATAGAAGGTCATTAGGGCCATCGAACGGTAAAACACACAACAATCCAAAAGGATATTACCGTAAAAACCCACGTAATGTCCGCATCTGTGTAATGTCCGCACCCCTTTTTTGACACAAAAATCTGGGGAAAAAACCCACCTTCCATGTAATGTCCGCGGGTAAAAAATGCAAATTGAAGCTGCCGATTTCATTTCACGTACGCTAATGTCATAATGGCCGAGAGCATGTCGCATTGTGTATAACTTACAGGTACCATTGAAGAATTCACTTAATTGTTTATAACAACAGTTATTCTCCATAATGGTACAGTAAGCTTACCAGTATGACAAGTCCTCATTTCGATAATTGGTGTTTTGATAAGGGTTAGCCCAGCAGTGTTATAAACAGCTTGGGTCGTCTCCTCACCTCGAGTGTGAGTGAGTGACAGCGTGTGATTAGCCAATTAACGATAACTATACAGTAACATGACCCGCCCATGACCCATGGCGCCACTGACCCTACTGACCCACCATCAGACGATGAGAACGCCATTTATTACAACGACCAGACAGAGGAAGACAACTTCAATGTACATTAAACAATCCAAAGTTTGAAGTTTGAAATATACCATAATGTTACATACAGATTTCTGAACTTTGAGCAGTTTCTTACAAAAATTAAAATGTACATTCTTGATGTCAGGACCTTTAATAGATCCCCATAGTTCACAGGCATGTCACAGTATGCTACTAACATAGGTATCAAACAATTGTAACATAGTTTTATAATTAAGACTTGAATTTGAGCATCTTGAAAATAAAGCAAACATTGTTTTATGTCCCTGATCAGATAGTTGTTTCTGATTACAATTAAACTTATTGTTGTACTTAAAGAAAACAACGAAATAGGTAAATTGATCTACACAAGTGACTGTTTTACCTTCACAAAACCAAATTTCATCATTGCGAATCCTCCCACTTTTTTTGAAATACCACAATCTTAGTCTTATCAATATTTACTGTCAAATTCCACTGTTCAGAGTAACTCGCAAGCTTATCCAGCAGTTCTTGTAAACCCTCAACAGTCCCAAAATAGAATGGGCCCAACTATAGTCATAGAGAACCTACATAAGAAAATTAAGCGAGATCCAGCAAGAACTTTTCAAAAAAATAGCGATAACAAACTGCATTAAAAGAAATCCAAGATGGTCGTTTGTCCGTAATTTTGTTTTTCTGGTCAGTCCTAAAATTGATTGGTGCAATTAGGGACCAAAAGTAAACCTATTCGTGAAATTTGAGAGAGATCCATCCGGCACTTCTAAAGAAATAGGGATAACAATAAATTAGCAGGATAGATGAAGGACCGTGGATGTAGGGTGATTTGAATAGCCCACCATCTGATGATCGTAAGGTAAAAATTACGACAGACGGACGATGCAATACCATTATACATCCTGTCAAAATGGAAGTACAGAAATAAGCCAAAGATAATTTACAGTGTCATATCAAGTAAGTTGCTAAAACGAAACATGAAAGAGGCAATAAAGCATTGATATATCCTGACTTTTGTCATTTCTTTGGTTTTGTTTTTTCAAGATAAACATTCATACTGACCCTAGCCTCTGGTATGGTGTTCAGATCGAGCATGTAGATGACCGTGAAAGGATGCTGAACCCTGTAAACAGTTCCACCCTTTATCTTCACCTTGGCTTTGATCAGGTATCTAACGTAGCCAGTGCCACCCTCAAAAGAGGAGGGCAAAAGCGGAGGTAATACAAAATTGACAGGGAAGTCATAATTTCCAGGATCCATTTCCACATAATTGCCATCAGCACCCTCAGCAGCTAAGATACAAGAAAATGATTACAATAAATTAGATATTTACAAAATAAGTTGACATTCTTAGTTGAAACAGACTATAACTTTAGCTTCAAAGGATTCCCTATATAAACACCTTCCTTTCAAGTTGGCAGAGTTGGTGTTGGGGAATGAGCTGTTTCCAATATATAGACATGGACTCATAACATGACCATGTAACATAGCCACGGAAATCAATGCTCATTTATGATTTTTAATGTCCTGGACATTTAATCACCATTCTTTGTAGCAGTCTATCAATGTATCTACATTATATGGAAAAAGCAAGACCAAAATAAACTATGGATTATTTTATGAAAGAGGACTCCAGACTATATTTATCCAAATTATCAATTAAGGTTTATTGAATTTATTTCATGGAATAAAGGTCAGAAAAAACAGAAAGGATGATGGTGACCTTAAGGAGAGTGGCTGATGATATTACAAACCTTGGAATAGTGGTATCTCTGTTTTGAAGTATTGTTCAGTCTGGCTATGACTTTGTTTATTGTCCCCAGATCCAGTTGACCAACTTGTGTGAGATTCACCTTTGAACTTAGCATACACTCCTGCAAATTAACAGTATTTTTTTTTGGTTTTTAAGGGTTTTTTTAACAAGCAAAATATATACTTTTCTTTAAAATATATGTCTCTCTAAAGTTGAAAACTTTAATTACATAAAAAAATAATCTATACGTTCTGTATGTGGCCAAATTGTAATTAAAACAAGATTAATCAAAAGCTTAACTATACACACAAGTATATGTACACAATACTGTAAAATATGTCTATATAACGTCTTTTAAATGATACAACATTGCTAAATGATTATGATCATGTATGTATATATTACAACAAGAGATCCATATACATGTAACTCACCTGTATATTTTAGTTTTCATATAAACATATTTGTATTCACAATAAGTGACAGTTCAGTATTCATCAAAAGATGGGAAATGCTAAAGCTTCTACAAATTTGGTCAAAATATTTATCTTCCTAACAGAAGAGGAATGATATTTGAAAACATTTATAATTTTGGACCCTGCCTCTCTAGGATAGACAACAGATTTTGTTGTGGTAACAAAAAAAGAGTACAACTGACACTTTGATATTGTAGCAGCAAAGGAAGACAACTGGCATCATGAAGTTGTAAACAAGAGGCTCATAAGCCTTAACTGTCACCTGAGGTCACAGCATTTGAGCAGGCAGAACAGAACTGTTATATGCATACTTACAAAGTTTTAATTGTTCCAAAGTTTGAAGACTTAATTTTAAAATGGAGCTGATAACACTCTCTATTGTTGTAGTTTAGCATATTTGACCCCTGTGATCTTGAATATAAGTGAAGGTCATTCCTTTTAACCCAGCATGCTACTGACCCGATATAAGCACCCTGGGCCTTTTGGTTATTGAGAAAAAGTTGTTGACCACCAATATGAACAAACTTGGTAGCCCTTCATGCCAGCATGCTACAGGCCAAATATTTGCACTCTGCACCTTTTAGTTGCAGTAGTTATTAGAAAGAGCTCAACACATTTGACCCCCTGACCCTGAAAGTAGGTCAAGGTTATTCATTTTAACAAACGTGAAAGACCTTCACCCAGCATGCTCTACCAGCAAAATATCAGCATTCTGGGCCTTTTGGTTATTGAGACGAAATTGTTAGAACATTTTGACATATTTGATCCCTGTGACCTTGAGAGTGAGTCAACGTCATTCATTTCCACAAACTTGGTCGCCCTTCATGCCAGAAAGCTACAGGCTCCGATTGACAGAAGACAACAAAAGGCAATCACAATAGGTAATTTGAAAAACTAAAAAAAAATGGAGACAATTGACATAAAGGACAGGGAGATAACTGAAACCATGATATGATAACAGGGAGGGAGGACTATTGACATCATGATTTTGTAACTGACTGGGATTATTATGTGGTAACATACAGGAGGAACAACCGACAATGTGATGGTGTAACATACAGCGGAGACAAATGGCACAATGAATTTGTGACAGAAGGGGAGGCAATTGACACCATGACATAGTATCAGACAGAGAAGACAATTGACACTGTGATGTTGTAACATACAGGGGAGACAAATGACATCATAATGTTGTAACAGACAGGGGAGACAAATGACATCATAATGTTGTAACATACAGGGGAGACAACTGACATCATAATGTTGCAACAGACAGGGGAGACAATTGAGTCTGTGATGATGAAACATACATGGAATCCACTGAAATCCAGATGTTGTTACAGACATGGACAGCTTCCTTTTGTAACAACTAAGGGAAGACATTCTACAGTAGCTGCAACACAAAAGTAATGTCAAATATTCTAACCTTTTACACGATTTGGTATTGTAGAGTGGAATTTGACACATGCCTGTACGGTTTGTCCAGGGGAAAAAACTGCACTGGGGTTGTTCAATAAGCTGATTGATAGATTCACTACCATGATGAAAAGATAGTGTCATCAATCCAGATGGCTAAAAACAGAAAAAATGTATATAAGTCATTAAATGAAAGATCTGCTGAAAGGTAAGAGATCCCAGTGGGATGTTGGCAGCCAGCATTGTTTAATTTTTGTTTAATTTCACCTTCATATGTACTGATAACATCTTGTCTTTTAAATAGCAAGAAATTTATTGAATACATCTATCATATATATCCACCTGAACTAGAAATCAAAGATACAACACATTCTTCTACATCAGCTGCTTATCTCAATATTTCCCTAAAACAAAACCAACATGGACAGCTTTCCAACAAGCTTTAAGATAAACATGATGATTTCAATTTCCCTATTGTGAACTTTCAATTTTTGGACAGCAATATCCATGCATCTCCAACCTATGACATTTACATATCACAGTCGATTCAATATTCAACGATCTGTTCCTGTTATCACAATGTTCATGCAAGAAGTCATTAACTGACTGACAAACTCGTAACATAAGGGTACAAAAGATGCAGAATGATTATGGGGAAGTTTTATGTCGGCCATAGTGATCTCATTGAGAAATATTCTATTTCTTTGTGTGACATGAAGCTGATGCTCGTTAGTTTGCCTGTTAGTTCCGTTGTTGTATACCTTGTTCTCATTTGATAATGTGACATTACTTACTTTGATTGACCAAGCTTTACATGGCGGGGGTCGTCAATGAAGCAGAAGATGCTTACTCTTCCATAACACCTGTTCTTATTCTCCTTGTACTTTTTCAGGAGTCTCTGTGTAAATCATTCTTTTGTTCATATTTTGCCCTAGTTTTATGGAATTTGAGTTTGAAATACAATTATGTTGCCATGTTGGTATTTTCTTGATATTTTTTGTTCTTTCAAAGTTGGAACTTTTCCCTTCTTTTCTCTTTTCCATGTTTTTGCTTTTGATTACCTGGTATACGAAATTTGAAAATTCCTCTCAGAAATAGCAATAATAATTGGCCAATTTTTCTAATCAGTGCAAAATGAACTATGCCTATGTAGGAACTAAGCTAAACTTACATTTGAAATATGAGAGTGATCTATCTTGTGCTTCTCAAGAAAAAACAATAACAAGAATTGTTTAAAGATGGACAGACGACTGACGAAGGGCAATTTGATTAAAAACAATGATTATCGTTACTGTAACACAACCCAGAAATTTATCACATCAGATGCTTGACAAGCCCTGGTTTTAACTACATACATCTTTTTGAGGGCCTTAAACTCTTGTATTACAGTGCAGTCATTTTTTTGCCTTTCACCAGTTTGTGTGTGAAGACATAAAGAACGTGCAGAAATGCTAACCACTTTTATGTACACTTTGGATGCGCTGAAATACAGGCAAGCATTCTGCAAGCAGCACTATGATGGCAAAACCTGGTGTTTATTGCTTAGTGTGGCACATATACATCATAAAACATGAAGACAATATCAACAATATCAATACCAACAACAAGGATAACATAATTACCTTCCCTGTAGACCTGTGAATTGCAAGACTTCATAAAATAGTGATAACAAAAAAGGGCTTCGTCATGCATACCGCAAGAAAAGTGTTATGTATTTCTACATGCAATGATTATACAATGGAAAAACACACAATTGAGCGGAGGTCCTCTAGCTGACCTTTTCCCTTGGTGTTGCTATCCTTTCGATTTTGATATGATTAGTGCTAATTTGGTAGTATAATAACAGGTAGAGCATAAGATTTCTGTGTTTAAAACTCCTCTGTAAACGCAGATTTACTGCAAAATCATCGCTTGACACAATCAAATACAGCTCCTATGACCGGAGTTCAATGGCACTAGAATATGTCTTCATGGGAATCATATTTATCGAAATCAAAACTTATTTACCCCAATAAAAGACCGGAAGTACACCATAACACTCTTCTTCGAACGCACCTTTATTAACTTTGTTGGTAATCGTAAGGTGTTTGTGTCTATCATATACAAAAAAAAATACTCAATGCATGTTCAATCAAAAATATCATATAAATCTTGTTAATATTCAAAGTACAAATTATTTTGATGGTCATTGACATCAGTGTTTTTACTCGAACGCACCTGTCAAATGCAACACTTCCCCGCCCGACATGCAATGCTAAAGTTGCTGGTTCCTGCGTTGGAGCTATAAAAATGAGTGACCGTTCCTTTGTTCAAGAAAGGGACCTTAGACAGTCGTTCAGACACCAAGAACTGAGGCAAGAAGATGCATTTTACGGGAGAACAGGACGATCGCACCAGCAACAACAGCAAAATCGTGGACAAACAGGTTTGGAATAAAAGGGAGCTAACTCTTTCAGGGATTCGATTCAATGTCATGTGGGACGATTTGCTAATTATAAATAAAGGGTTATTAGCCGGTCGAGCAATATATCTGTTATATGTACGACATTTAGTCCAAAACTCGTATGTTTCATGATTGCCTTCTTTTATCTTTGCACTTTCCATTTGTTCGATTATTGTAAGGTGAATTACTGTTAGGCCTTAGGTTAGAAATGTAAGCAACTCCCAACAAAAATCCTGCCCACTATGCATCGTATATGATGGACTAGACTTTTGCTTGAGTTGTTAACAACGTTCCAGATACAGGTGTCTGTGTCTACAAAAAGGCTTTGGACACTCACAGTGCTTAAGTGTAATGAAATATTACACAGATCACACCATATTATATTACAGGGTATATATAAATAAAAAAAAATAGAAAAGGAATGAAAATAAAAAATAAAAAAACAAAAGCAGGGACGTATATCCCTGACAAAACCAAAAAACTAATGAATAAAAAATCACAGAAAAAATTAATAGGACTTTGAAAATATGCAGGTAATAGTATAAAGATAGGACAGTTAGTACAAGACAGTAGACAGTAGTAATTTACTTAGAGTCATGATTGTCTTGACCTGAAGTGCAGTAGCTGCAAAGTCATGTCAGAAATTATAATTTGAATTTTAAACAATAACGACATGTATTGACAAAGACCAATTTAGATGTCTGGATATAAGAAAAGATTATGTATATCTGTTTTCTGTAAAGGAGACTGCACTTCTCATATCGTCTCTAATTTTTAAGTATTTTTTGAGCTCCAGAAGTGCCATGCTAGAAAACAATAGGTAGGGGTATGTACAACCAATTACATGCTTATAAACAGGTCAAAATTAATAAATCATTGTTCATGTCAACACCAAGCAGTTTTTGAGAACTTTCATATTTATTTTTATTTTTTACCTTTTTACATTCCAATTTCAAAAGTTGGGGTTCTCTCTGAATTTGCATCTTGTTGCAACTACACTTAAAAATATCAGTTTTGACTTTTTTCTAGTGTGCTGGTAGGATTGGCATGGTTATCACTAAAAAAAGAGTGTGTTGTCATCTCCATAGTTGTATTAAAATTCAAATAAAATTTTTTTGAAAATGATATTAAAAATATCATTGATAAAATTGTTATGAAACAGGGGGCCATCTGTGGCACCCTGAGGTACTCCCTTTGTAAACAAGACACAGTCACAGAGTGACAGACTGGTGTGTAATAACAACCCACACCAATTTGTTGCTTTTATGAATTATAGACATTTACCAATATTTCTTAACAAAGCTGGATATGTAAAGACATATCCATCACACTTCATACATTTTGAAGTATTAATATTTTTTTTTCTTCATGATAAATAATTGATTGCATCATAAATTGTTATGATTGCAGATTATGGATATGAATGTTGAATGTGATATCAACAGTAGTGATATCAATAAAATTTCAATTTTCCAGAGCAAGTCCAGACATTTGCAGGATGGGCCATAGGACTTTCAAGGTTGGTGGTGTTTTTTTTATTTCAGTCAAGGTTGATTGACATTGTTTTTGGGTAGACCTCACCTATAATAAGGTATTTGGGCAGCTCTGTTTTTGTTCGGACTTTGATAATATTTAGTAACATTTGTTAGGTCATCTGACCCGAAGGGTCCGATGACCTATAGTCATCATGCTTCGTCCGTCGTCGTCCGCCGTGCGCCGTCCGTAAACTTTTCATTGACTTCTTCTCAAATACTAGAAGGTCTAGGGGGCTAATACTTGGCACAGAGGATACTGGCATGGAGCTCTACCAAGTTTGTTCAAATGAATGACCTTGACCCACTTTAAAGGTCACAGGGGTCAAATATGTTAAAATCTTTAAACAACTTCTTCTCATTAACCAAAAGGCTCAGAGTGTAGATATTGGGCCTGTGACATGCTGGGATGAAGGACTACCAGATTTGTTCAAATGAATGACCTTGACCCACTTTAAAGGTCACAGGGGTCAAATATGTTAAAATCTTTAAACAACTTCTTCTCAATAACCAAAAGGCTCAGATTGCTGATATTGTGCCTGTGGCATGCTGGGATGAAGGGCTATCAAGTTTGTTTAAATGAATGACCTTGAACAACTTTCAAGGTCACAGGGGTCAAATATGTCAAAATCTTTAAATAACTTCTTCTCAAATACTAGAATAAATACTTGGCCCATAGCATGCTGGCATGGAGCCCTACAAAGTTTGTTCAAATGAATGACCTTGGCCCACTTTCAAGGTCACAGGGGTCAAATATGTTAAAATATACAAAGGACTTCATCTCAATAAGCAAAAGTCTATGAGTGCCGATATTGGGTCTGTAGCATGCTGGGAGGAAAGGCTACCAAGTTTATTTAAATGAATGACCTTGAACAACTTTCAAGGTCGCAGGGGTCAAATATGTCAAAATCTTTAAATAACTTCTTCTCAAATACTAGAAGGCCTAGAGGGCTAATACTTGGCCCATAGCATGCTGGCATGGAGCCCTACAAAGTTTGTTCAAATGAATGACCTTGGCCCACTTTCAAGGTCACAGGGGTCAAATATGTTAAAATATACAAAGGACTTCATCTCAATAAGCAAAAGTCTATGAGTGCCGATATTGGGTCTGTAGCATGCTGGGAGGAAAGGCTACCAAGTTTATTTAAATGAATGACCTTGAACAACTTTCAAGGTCACAGGGGTCAAATATGTCAAAATCTTTAAATAACTTCTTCTCAAATACTAGAAGGCCTAGGGGGCTAATACTTGGCCCATAGCATGCTGGCATGGAGCCCTACAAAGTTTGTTCAAATGAATGACCTTGGCCCACTTTCAAGGTCACAGGGGTCAAATATGTTAAAATATACAAAGGACTTCATCTCAATAAGCAAAAGTCTATGAGTGCCGATATTGGGTCTGTAGCATGCTGGGAGGAAAGGCTACCAAGTTTATTCAAATGAATGACCTCAACCCACTTTCAAGGTCACAGGGGTCAAATATGTTAAAATATACAAACGACTTCTTCTCAACAAGCAAAAGTCCATGAGTGCTGATATTGGGCCTGTAAGATGTTTGGAGGAGAGGCTACCAAGTTTGTTCAAATGAATGACCTCAACCCACTTTCTAGGTTTGGCTTGCTTTTTGTCAGATGACCGTTAAGGCCCATGGGCCTCTTGTTTATATGGCTATATTTACAGCATTTTAAAATGTCTAGTATCTAAGTGATGACTTAACCTGTCAGTTTGATTGTTATGGCCTTTTGAAAATAAAAATTAATATACCGTAACATCTATGTATTTGATACATGCCATATACAGATAATTTGATATATTGCTATGTTTTTGACTTAAGGTGCAGTCACAACAAGGTCACATCTGAATATATGAATGTTATTCATCAGTTGTTTTTGCAAATCAAAATGCAAGATGCCGAATAATGGACTTTTGTAACAAGACTTCCGTACATATGACAAATGATGGTACTTCTTTCATTTTACAGTAGCGTGTTTGCAGAACACATCCTGTCCCATCCATGTATTGTCCTGCGTCGACAGTGTCAGGTTTGTCTCGTGGTCTAATCTAATGATCTATAATATTTTTCTGTGTCAGGAGTTTCTGGTTTGTTCCCATGTCCCAGCAAAATATTGTTTAAATGCTACCTAGCGTATAGAAAAAATATGAATACTTGATTATGTGAATTTTTGTGTGGAGAAAAAGAAAAAAACTAACCATATATCTTGTGCTCAAACTCAATGATTTTATAAATTATCTGATGAACAATTTTGAAAGCATTGTCAAAGAGAAAAAAATTACAGAATGTTTCATATTTATCATATTGAAATCATTTACAGGTTCACCACAATGCCTCTTGGTATCACCTGACGCCATTTTCCCTGTTCCATGTGATTTTAAACCTGGAGAGAACACAGGTGAGAGAATCACGTAATGATTGTGTTAAAATTTATTCTGTCACATCCCACACTGTTGATGGGGACTTTGATATGCTATTTTGATACCTAAAATAATCAAAATTAGTATGCTAGTACTTTTCACAGAAATACAAAAAAACACATGTAGATATGTTTGTAAATCACAATGTTTGGTTGGTGGTAACAACATATATTTAATAGTTAAAAGATACATGCTGGATGTATTATATTTGGTGGTAATTACAGATATAAAATGAATACTAGATACACATAGGATGTATTATGTTTTGTGCTAACTACATATAGTAAATAGTTACTAGATTCACACAGGTGCATCTATGTAGAAAAATTCTGATGATTAACTACATATATTAAATAACTACTAGATACACACAGGATGTATCATGTTTGATGGTAGCTACTTATATTAGATAGTTACTAGATCAAACAGGATATATCATGTTTTATTGTAACTACATATGTTAAACAGTTAATAGATACACACAGAATGTAGCAGGTTTTGTGGTAACTACATATATTAAATAGTTTCTAGATACACAAAAGATGCATATATGTAGAAAAAAATTCTGATGATTTTTACAGGGTCTAGGAACTCTATGGAAAGGAATAGGGAGTGTGTTTCTGGCAAAGGGAATCTTCATGGTTAGTGAAACAGCCATCAGTGAAGTCACCCCCCTTCCTAAGTAAGTACAGAGGCATTAAATGACTTTAAAACACAGGAAAAATACACGTTTTTTTTTTGTGCTGATATTATGGGACTCTCCAACTTAATCTTATCCCAGACTTAAAATATCAAAAGTAAGAGCACCCCAAAAATAACAACCTTTAAAATATATTTCTCAAAATATCTTATTTTCCTTTCAGAGAGGTATCAAAACACAGTCCACTTAAGAAGCACCTGCAACACATGGTCCTGAAAGGGTAGGCTTTGATTATGTAGTTAATTAATTAGATTAATTAATTGATAAAATCATGATACCTGAGAATTAATTACTGATACTGTAAACTGTAAATTTTGGATTCTACAGTTTGATGACTGTTATATTATTATTACTCTATTTCTAGAGACTTTATTGATGAACATGAGGTCTTTTCAGTTTGCGCTCTCCATTTTAACTGGTGTATGGATGATTGTTTGTCCTTTTCAGGCTTTCGTATATGATAGCTACACCATTCTTGGCTGCCAGTCTCCTTGAAACTGTTCAAGTAAGTTTGGTTATTACAAGCTAGAGATGATGTTTGTCAGCTGTTATCTTTGATTAAAAGTGTTGAAGCCTTCAATTTAGAGAGTAAAAAGTCATAGAGCACACATTCTCAATACTCCAGGGGTTATGATCACTTTTTCTCTCTGTGCTCTGGAACATGTTGTAGCAAAGTTGAAAGCACAAATGAAGTAATTTGATTGGTTCCAGGATAAAAAAAAAAGCACCAATCACAGGCTGATATGCTCCTTTTGAAGATTACAAAGGAGCATCAATCAATTTCAAAGCCATTACAATATAGCGTTATGTGACCTTGAAATTCATTTGATGTACATCTAAGGATCACTCACACTAGTCTTTTTGTCCTGTCCACAAGGAGTCAAACACCGAACCTTCAATTTTGCCATGACGGGTTCCAGGGGTGCAGAGATCGATAATGTTTGAATCCCCTGGGGTATTGAGGATGGCAGGCACAGAATATGAACCCATGTCACTGTATTACTTCAATTTAAAAGCAGTCTGATAGAAGTCAGTTTTCACCAGCTTCTCTTAGATACCAGTTGAATGCCAGGATAAATCTACACACATGTCCCAAGTCCTGTACACATAGGATTTTTATAGGACTTGAAGAATTAATGGAAATACTTAAATTATACATTGTGGGACCCATTAATTTTTATCAATGAAGATGAAAAAGGACCCATGAAAATATATTCTAGATTTATCACTGTGAATAAATTACATTATATTCAATTCATGTTCAAAGCCATACAGAGATAGCAGACAGACACCCTCCCAGGTTATAAAAAGATCCTGATATATCAATGTCACTTTATCTGAAAAAAAAAATGACGGTTTACTATCTCTCTTCCTCTTTGTGAGCGTACTTTTCGGTATAACCAAAACACATTATCATAGACTGAAAATGAGGCTGACCAGTGAAAACAGACACAAGTAGATCAAGTGATCCAGTTATGTCTTCCAAAATAAAATGGCTGACTATCTTTTTAGTTTGTGGTGTGGTAATCTAGCATATGAAGCAGAACTAGGATATTACCTGGTATGTATTTACTTACAGACAACAAACTCTAAAATTTCTGAAGTTTTGACTTAAGTTTCAACATTGCTGACAACATGTTTTGTCAGCCCACATCTGTTCAAACTTCTTTCATTGATAGTGTTTACCATGTCACATGTTAAGGAAATATTTTTTTATAAAATCTGGCCCTGTACTTATTTTGTTTATATATTGTAGTCCGATGTGTCTAGCGAGAGGCCTGGAACATTTGACTGCTTAATGGAAGGTGTGACCCGCGTGATGGGATGGTGGTCCCCACAAACCACACACCTCCTACCTGTCTGGAAACTAATTCTACCAACAGCCATCTTAGGCATTGCATCCTACACTATTACGCAGCTTGCTAAGTACACGGTCATCTCTACCATCAAACTTGAGGAACAGGAGTCCAGGGTAACTTATATTTGTCCTTAAATAAGTCCAGTAACTAACACATTATGTTGGACTTGAGCTTATTACAGAACAATTGTGTAGATTTTGTTGATATGTCTACTTCTAAAATGACAATACATGTATGTGTAGATGGGCTTATTACCAGACATGGGCTAACTTTTGGATAAGTACAATATTTCATTAAAAATCCTCATAAACACTCCTTTCTCATAATATAATCTTATTGTGTGTTTATCTTTAGAATTATACATACAATCTGCAACTGTTTTTATGTATACGTAAATGACATAAATTTTTTAGGATAAAATAAGATCACAAAAAAGTTAATTGAAAGAAAATTTTAAATATTTACAACTATGCTTTCATCTCTTCTTCATCTAGGTGCAAAAGATACTGTTCTATAATATACTGTCATTTCAATTTTTCACACAGCCTGTATTAAACTCTTTCTTTAAAGCTGAATGCTAATAAAAAAGTGTGTATTAATTTTCGATACATAGGCAAATTCTTCTCCGGTGGATGGACACACAGTTGCCAAAAAGATGTATGAGAATTTCTTCACAGAAATGTTAGCTAGCTTCACTGGAAATCTGCTTGCGGACATGATGACTTATCCAATGGAGACTGTAGTTCACCGATTATATCTACAGGGCACACGAACTATTATCGACAATACCGACACTGGCATGGATGTAATCCCCATCAGCACACGCTACGATGGCGTGGTTGACTGTTTTCGAGACATTGTGATTAAAGAAGGATTTTCTGGGCTTTATAAAGGTTTTGGTGCAGTGTTCCTTCAATATGTATTACATGCAGCTATTCTACGAACAGCAAAATTCCTTTTCGAGAAAATATCTAATGAATTTGGCGGTTCTAGGCATTCTCCAAGACCGCATCCTCCTACAGTGGTAAGTTTTACCCTTTATGATGTTTAACTACAAATGTGTATCAGTACTGAAATCAAATTCAGTGTTAAAGATTTACCTTATATGGAGTAAAATGTTAATTCTGTCCTATGATGTTCAAAGTTAAGACTCGCCCTCCATGTTACAAATGTATTTCAAAAATTTATCATTATGGTGTTCATTATCAAAAATTTACCACATATGGTGTTCAGTGATAAAGATTTAATGTATGTCGTGTTCATTATGAAAGATTAACCCTTTGTCATTGTTATCATTGGCTTCATATGGTGTTAGTTTTGAACATTTATCCTGAACAGTGTTTTATATTCACAATATACCTTAAATGGTATTGAGTATTCAAAAAAATTATCTCATATTATTTTCAATTGATTTTTTCCAGTATGGTAATTGGTGTGATGGGTCTTAAATTCTAATCAATATATTGTATTTCAAATGTGTTTTTTCAGCCAAAGCATCCTAATCAGTGAGGATTTCTTCGGACGGCAGGCTCTGACATGTGGGAAAAGGAAGTGTGTGTGTCTCTAAGTAATTCATTTTAAAATTAACGAAAAAATACAAACCAGAAATGTGATAATTATTATTTATGGTGATGTAAGAGACCTTGTAATAGCTGAAAGATTGGAAGACAAACTGCTCACATTGATGTATGACTTGCATTTCTACATACGCAAAGAAAAAAAACAGTATAATCGAACCTAGTTATTCTGCATGTTTGTGTAATGGATAATGGATCTTTGTCGTTTTAAATGATTTTACTTTCTGGGTGGAATCGTGATTAATGGACAGCTGTCATTGATATCCTGATTAATTTAATGGCTATTTATGTGTATTAGCTGTAACTGTTTTACGGATTCATGAAATTAACTATTTTTGTTTTTCGAATAAATCTATGATCTGTTTGTGTAGTTCAGTATTGGAAACTCTAATTTTCTGGATTTGAAGTTGAAATTAAGAAGCTTAAAGCTTCATTCTACTTCAAAACTTTCAACTGTCGACTTGAAACTCCAATAAATGAAAGGCTGCTTCCTGATCATTAGCAGATAAAAGTTAATTTCTGATAATTTTGTATGGATTTCTAGTCTGCTTTGGAGAAGCTGAATATCTCCAGTGGCTGTTTGAAGTCAACAGTATTTGATGTACATGTAAATAAACTTACGTTGTAATATAGGATAGATAAGGGTAAATTTTTGTATCTGAGAACAAATGGATAAAGAAACACCATGATCGAGGCATATTTCATCATTAAACCCAATTGTTTTTTAGTTATAAAAAAGATAATAATGTTGAAGTTCTCAACACGATATATGATTGCTGCCAAAAGGATTAAGATCTATTCACATATTCAGATTTTTTTTTTGTTTGTTCAAGGGAGGAAAATGTAAACAAGTGCTACTATATAATATACCGGTAGCTGTATTCTTCTAAAATACTGAGGTGCAGTTTTGAGAAATGGTTATCCTAACCCCAACTTAAACATTTCTGACTAAGAAAAATGTGATGTGTATTGATCGGTATATGTGTCATTCTGTTTTGTTAACTGGAAACCAGAGTGTTCAAATTGAAGTTAAAGGAAAAAATTTGTGTGAAACTTTGTCAAGAAGTCACAATAAATAGTTTCAGACTTGATTTAGTTAATGTGTGCTGAAATTTTGTTTTGTTTTTGTTTTTTTATAACACCATATTAACTGTGGAACTGCAATGTTGATCTGCAGCATATATTTTGTACAATTATTAAATTTGTGTTTCAGGTTTACCATTGCAGTTGTGTGGTTAAATTGAATTTTTTTATGATCAGCTATAATTAATTAATGTAACTGTGATTTGTAATGACATCTAGTTTCTCCTGTTTTGTTTTCTCAAAAGTATGTAATGTACTGCAATATGATTTTTTAAAGTTGATAAATAAAATTATTTTTGTTTTGTGTTACTGGAAATTTTGTCTTTTCTATTACAATACATCCTGCTGTGATGAAGCCATTGTGAAAGCAAATTTCATCTTTGAATTACATGCAAGTGCAAAGGCATATAATTCCTTCAATTAAGACTCGGGAAATGTAAAATTGTACACAGATTAATAATCTGGAAATAAGTGAGGAATCAATAATGTTTGATCACAAAAGATATTGTTAGAGTTGTTTTTTCACATGATTCTTACTTTCAAGATTTCCGTGGCTGTATTTCAACCACAAAATATGGTTTTAGTGAAAATTTAGTCCAATTTAGATAATGTATTTACTGTTAATACAGGTTTTACGCAATGATTCTGGGAGCTTTGTAAGTGAGGTTAGAACATTTAAAATTTACCAATTTAATTAAAAACTGCATGTATAACTTTAAAATTATGATATCCCCCTGACAATTTGGAACTCTATAGCCTGTCTGGTAATACTTCACATTTCAGCACATCAATGGATTGAAAAATTTAACCTGCAACGTTTTCCAATGAATCTACTCTGCAAAAATTAAGTCCAGTGCAAAAAACAACATTTGCAGTTGTTTGACTACATTGTAATCAGCATGTTTAGACAAATCACAGTCAAGTAATTAAGTTGATTGTTAGGAAAGGATTCAAAATGGGGCAACCAAAGAAACAAGTGTAAATTATAACTGTACCTGCACTGATCTGACCACTAACTACTGACCATAGTCTGGTGGACAGAACTTTAAATGGTGGCCTTTGTGAAGACTGTCCATTAAGTTGATTGTTAGGAAAGGATTCAAAATGGGGCAACCAAAGAAACAAGTGTAAATTATAACTGTACCTGCACTGATCTGACCACTAACTACTGACCCTAGTCTGGTGGACAGAACTTTAAATGGTGGCCTTTGTGAAGACTGTCCATCTTTGCACAATAAAGGCCTCTCTGTGGTTTTTAGAAGATTAGGTGTAATAATGCCAACCCAGAGGGAAAGGGAATTGAGTTAAGATAAAATACATTTCTTATGAAGGCATTCGATGGACATCGAAATTGCTTAATATTCAATCAAATTACAACTCTTGCCCCCTCCAACCAGACTTGCTAGAATCAATTGGTACCATGCGACAAACACCAGCTACACCACTGACAGGATAAGTACCATTAGGCCAAGAAGCCATCTTCTAAAGCTACTAAACATTTTCAACATCCTGACAGAGGGCTCTACTCCAGGAGGGGGATGCAGGTTGCCCCCTCACCAGAACATTGATGAGACAATGCCTAGGCGTAAAAAAAGTCTCAAAGACAGAAAACTTTCAATCAACCAACCAACCAATCCTGTAATTTTGGTAAATGTCACATGTGAAAACTGAAGGCTTTATATGTGCAATCTTATGAATGTTATCAACTGACTAATCTCTATACCGTTATGGAAGATATCACACCTATGATCTCTTTTAATAACAAAAAAAAAAAAAAAAAATCATGCAGAAGCATGAAAGGCCAAATGGCCAGGTTTGCAGCCCCTTTGTATCTCTGAAGGGCAAAAAGACTACTGTCTTCAACCCATTAAAAAGTTAAAAGATATGACTGAAAGTGAAACCTTTGAATTCTGACCTTCCCTGCTTAGAGTGTTTGTAAGACACAATAAAGAGAAAACAGATGTGCAAACAGCAATTAACAGACAGTTAAAGTATGTTTATACAGTATGTAAGTGAAATGAATAACAAGGTAAATATATACATGGTGACCGCTTACATAAGGAGAATATGATCTGCGTTTTGCCAAACAATCCTGATCATCAATGAGAGTTCATCTTAATTCTGTTGAAAGTTGAAGTCACAGTAAATATAAAGGCAAAATTTCTACATCATCACTAACAAACTTTAAATAGATGTAAAGTGTACAACATTGTCATCTTATTACAGAAATGCTCAAATTTTAAACCAATATTTTTTATTTATTTACATTTACTTATTTAGATTCAAGCAACATATATGATCTTCATAATCACATTTTTATTTTCCAATTCTCAATGAAAATGGACTATTACCTTATTGTACCTTCACCAAAAGCACTGCATTAAACATTTCTGTTCTCAATCCTTAAATATTTAAACAAAAAGAAAATAAAAAAATAAATAAAAAACAGGATATACTGGGTAGTATGTAATATGAGTTTGAAATGACAGAAAGAAAAAGGACAAAGTCTTTATGATTTTTTTTGCACATGTAGTACATTCTGTATAGTGCTTTATGGACAAGACTTGATGACCAGATATTTGATCTAACTATTATAGATGTTGAAACAACTCAAACCTCAGATGTTTATACATAGGACGTTCTAGGCAGAAATTATAGGAATTTTAATGATTTATAATCATAATTTAGGAAACCGTTGAACTTACATTCAAATTCTACAGCCCATTGACTTTAAGAACCAAGATCAATGTTTAGATATATCATCTGCAAAAAGCTTTGATGCAGAATACTGTAATACAATATGTACATGTCATTAATTAATATATACCTAGAAATAATAATGGACCTAAGACAGATTCTTGTTGACCTCCTGATTTGTTGCATGTTGCAAAAGCAGTAAACATGTTTGTTTGTTTTTTTTCCCCAGAGCTAAACAGAAATCATGATACACTGTGAGTTGATACAGAGTAAAATAATTCAGTATGAAACCAGACTGGTGTTCATTTTAAGCTTTCCAAAATTTTGTTATTATAGACGTGTTAAAAAATTACTCTTTCAAACACTTTCCCATCAGTGGTTACCCTTATAGATTATCTGGTTAGAAATTGGTTTCATCTTTCCCTCTTGATGTGCCATATAAAGTTGAAAATAGGACACATATTGGAAGCCAGAAATAAATATATATATAAACAAAAACAAAAAACAAATGCACACAAAAAGTACAAAACAAAGAGTGCTTCAGGCTGATTTCTCTGTTAATGACCAGATATTTACCTGGTATGTCAATTAAACCACTAACTCTTCACACAACATAAAACATCTTAAATCATATACTATCCTATTTATCACAAGCAATATTTATCACATACATGCTACATATATATATAGTTGTGTAAACCATGGATGAAATATAGGAGTGCAGTATTAAGGGAAAGTTAAACATTTTCTTACTTAATTCAATGTTTATGAGTTTTGTTTTAATAGAACAATTTCAACAAAAGATGTTGACAGGTTAACTTTCTTACAGAGTCATGCTTCACAACTAACAACGACATTACCACAGGATGGATGAAAATTGTTCAAACAATGTTTGAAAATCAACAAATTATTTCGCAGTGGTTCATTTTGAAGACTTAAGTTTACTTGGAAAAAACTTTCTGTCCTTAGTGAGCCTCGAACCCATAGGGAAAGGAAGTTTCATCGTAGACTTGCTACAGTCCAGGAATCATACAGCAGTATGATAAATGTTTCGTGAAAATCAGTCGACTTAAACACCGAAATGAGCGTTGACCTCTCATTTTGTTATTTTCACTGACCACACATATTTTGTTTAATGTTAATTTAATTTTCATTAAAAAGTTCAATCGAGAAACCTGTACAGTTTATATGTGGCACGAACGGGCATCATAACACCACACGATAAAATTAGGGTGTTTGATAACACAAAAAATGATCTTGAACCATTTCAAATGATCACAAAAATAATCAACAGTTGTATATAACAATATTTGTGCGATAATGACATAGAATATTATACATTGCATCATTTTGGTTGGATTTGTTTACATTAATATAATATCCCATTAGTGTCACGGAAAGATTACTTCCGCATTCTCGGAATGTTTCGCGTTCATCCATCTTTCTACCGAGAATCAAATAACTTCCTAATAGAAAATTAAATGAAAATGGCTACCGACGGCTTGCGAGTTGATAATCCACAAGATACCATAGAAGCACTCAGTCGGGAGGCTGAGATGCTGAAGAAAAGACTTGAAGATGAAAAACAAAAACTAAAAGACGTCGATAGTATGATGCATTTTTGCATTTATTGTCTAGAAATACGAATGACCTTTAATTATTGAACCTCATTTCCCAAGATCATGCTTATGTCTGAATGTTTTGGCTGTCTGGTATGCAGTCCTGTTGTGAAAGTTTCACGTACCTTAGTAAACCTACCCCTAACCGACCCGCTAGCTTCGACAGATTATTTTTGTTAGCGTCATATTATGTTGTATTTATTTACTTGTAAGTTATAAAGCTTCATTAGATTCTTGCCAGATTCTTGGATACGATCAGCTGTCGAACTGGCAGCTGACCCAAACAGACACAACCACACATATTGGTAACAGTCCTGCATTCGTGTGTTAGTTATTGCTTTGAGTAATGAATTAGTTACTCAAATGCGGGATTATTTGAAATAGAAAAACAATGATTTTTCAAGCTTTCGAAGTAAAAATCGCTTCACGTTTTTGACAAGGACCAAACCAATGCAAAATTGTTCCATTTAAAAAAAAAATTGACGATGATAATGAAGGTTTACCGTCTCCATAACATTTTTAATGATTCAGTTATCTGGCTTTTTGTAACAATCAAAAACTTAATTATCCCCATTGCTCATAATGTGGCTAAAATAGAACAGAGGTATATTCAGGCTCACTTATACCATTTGCACTGAATGCCTTCAATGGTTATGCACTGTAGTCAGTGAAAAAGTTTTTGGTATAATTTCTAATTTAGCACAAAATTGTAAGATAACAGAAATGAATATTTCATTTGAAAACATTTACAGTGTCACATTGGCTATTGGATCATAACATACATTTTAAAGGTCTTTATTATTTCTTTTTCAAATAATCTGTATTTGAGTAACAAATTGCCTACTCAAAACTGTAATGATCATGCAAATGCAGGACCATTACCCGTATACAAGGTTGTGCCCAACTTGTCAAAAGGCACACATCCATATACCAAACCATAGCAATAATGTATGATTCAAATAATAAGGATCCAGGTTTTTGAACCACTCCATCTAAGCATGTATTCTTACTATCATGCTATTTCTTATAATTTGGCCTCATCATTTTTGTATACCAGGATATTATGAATGAGAGACATTGAAAATATATTTTAAAATTCTGAAATATTTATATAACTATTTATCTACTATAGTATAAATTTTATTTGCAGTGTGCTCGGCCACAAATACCATAGAAAACACTGGTTTAAGTAACTTTGTTATGAAGCAGAGGAAGATGCTGAAAGGACATCACGGAAAGGTGTTATGCATGAACTGGTCAACTGACAAACGTCGCATAGTGAGCTCATCACAGGTGAGAATAATTCGTAGACATGGTATAGCCAGCTCTCCGCATGGGAAATTTAACAGATAAACATTTCGTATTTAATTGAGCTCATCACTAATGAAAATCTTCAAAGTTTCATGATGGAGAAAGATATATGTGTATTCATTTTTTTTTTTACGAAAAACACAACCCTTTTAGTTTGGTTTATAGCTAAAAACTTCATCAGTAACATTGAATATATCAAATTGTCACAGGGTTTTCCATAAGAGCCGGTCGCCGGCCAATTTGACTGGCTACTTTGATTAATTGGCTGCCTACACCAATCCAGTTCCGTAATTATGTTTCGTACACGACAGGCCAGCCTCCTACTTTCACTACACAGCCTATTACTAACAAACCCTGTGTCAATAAATTATTATAGTTCCACACTTTTTCTTTCATTGGATAATATTTTTTTCTTTTTAATTGCTATTGTTGCTCTACAATCTGGCAAATTTCGAAACTTAAACAAAAAAAATTATTTTCAAATTTTCTTTATATTTACATAGGTAGGAAAACATACTTAATGTGTGAATAAAATAGTCCTATTTGGATATCATTATTCAAACCGCTTTCTGTTTCAGGATGGTAAAATGCTGGTATGGGATGCCTTTACAACAAATAAGGTAAATGTTACAAAAGTATGCTTAACGACGTCTTCTTTGTTAATTAACATATGGTAAAAAACATTAAAAATCTTAAATTGACAGTACACCATAAGTTTTCTTCCATTTACATGTCCCCATCATTTTATGGGGTCAGGCATATAGTGTTGTCCATGTTTGTCCATTCAATCTCATCATATTGTCTCCCATCATATTCGGAAGAAACAAAAATGATTTTAAACTGTAAATTTTTGACACTTTTCTGTGATATATTTAAGTACCTATGTTGGTTGCCTTTTTGTAAATGAGTATTACACAATCAAGCTGTTTAAATGTACAAGGTGCTCGATAATTTAGCTCCACAAAGTGTGAATTGTTTGAACTAGATTTACAATATACTCCTCTTCAAATGTTTTTTTAATTGCCATCTTTCTCTTCCCATAGCAATGTCATATCTAGATCTTGAGAACCATTCAACAGATTCAATTCTTTTTTACCCCCATAGTGTCATTAAATCTAATTGTACACCTTTATCATATATAAAGGTGGTCATCAGTGAAGGTTTAAAGGTTAAAGGTCACATTTGACAGCTTCCTTAAATTGATCAAACAGTGATATTTGTATGCATGGGAGCAGGGTCATTTATGTGTAACAGACATTTTCTGGGAATTAGGTAGTGAAGAAGATATATTCAGATTGTAATAAAAGCTTCACAACATGCTTGTCACTTGTACAGTGATCCTAACTTTTATACAAGGAATGCTAACAATCATGTCTTCAATCTCTTCTTTACAGGAGCATGCAGTTACTATGCCAACCACATGGGTTATGGCATGTTCCTTTGGTCCTTCAGGAGAGGTTGTAGCCTGTGGGTAGGTATTCTTAAAAAAACAGTTTGACATTTCCATCAATTCTTCTTGGTGTCTGTTCATGCTAAGCATTCAGACTTTCAGAATCAGTGAAAGAAAACATATGTGTGCCAGTAGGAAAAGAGGCTTTCCCTGTTTTATGTGATTCTCTGAGAATTTTTCTGTTTCTTTTTCATCTCTGCTGCTTGGAATTTTATTGTCTCTCATATGTCTCTGCTCTTGAGAATTTCTTTGCCACTTACACGTCTCTGCTATTGGGAATTTCATTCCCTTACTAATCTCTGCTACTGAAAATTTTTTTCTCTTTCATTCATCTGTGCTGAAATGTAATAATGTCATTATGTTATATTACAGGGGTCTAGACAACAAGTGTACGGTTTACCCTGTGAGAGAAGATGACCCTGCGTCTAAGAAGAAGGCTGTTGCTACACACACTAGCTATCTCTCATGTTGTACATTTACAACCTCAGATAAACAGGTAAATTGGAATGGGATTTTTCTTGTAATAATGGAAAAGGTCCAACTCATAAGTTTTGACTGAAATTAGCATTTGTTGAAAATTTTACTGTGCGTTTTTAAAGATGGGTAAGCTATTTGCCAAATAAATATCGTAATTAGATACTATTATGAATCAATTCATGTGTTTGTATAAAATTAAACTAGATTAAGAATCAGTTAATGAAATAGAGTGGTAAATATTAGGAATAAATTCCAAACTTCATTTTGTAAGTTGTGCTATGATAAAGCCTACCAAACATGATATCAACCTGTTGTACTGTTTGAAACTTATCTTGAAGAATTGCACATGATTTTCATGTGAGACTCGGTCAAATTATGACAACCTAGTATATCTTTTAGTAATTGGATTTATTAAATGTTTGGAAATGGTCTCTGTGTATGATCCTTAATATGACGTTTGTGTTAATTATAAAATGGCTGTGATTTGAAGATTTTTCCTTATAGAATTTCATCGATAAATCAAAGTTTTTCATTTCAATTTCATGCTCAGATGATTAGTATGTTAACTCATGAAATAATGAAGAGCAGTATGGATGAGTTGACATTTTAGCAAGATTTTCTAGGATATGAGAAATTTAACATATGTTTTCGTCTAAGTTTGATTTTCCTCAGCATTATAAACTGATAAGGATGAAACAGTCGTATGATCGAGTTTAATCAATTATTTGGATTTACTGTGTCTAATTGTAAATTTGTCTCAAGAGATGCCATTCACTTGTGTTTCTTTTGTACGATGCAATGTTGCTCAATTGCCTGTTGTTTTCAGATTTTAACAGGAAGTGGTGACAGCACTTGTGCATTGTGGGATGTGGAGAGTGGTCAGCTGATCCAGAGCTTCCATGGTCACGCTGGAGATGTTATGAGTATTGATCTTTCACCTTCGGAAACTGGCAATCTATTTATATCAGGAGTGAGTATACATTTTCACATGGTCAGTAAACACAAATGTTGGTTGTGTTGAACCCAGTTCTCAGCACTGAAGAAAACATATTCTCTTTTTTATACTGAAATATTAAAAAGAGAAGAAAAAAAACTTATCAATCTTATCATGTACTGTAAATGTTCATATTTTAGCACGTTTCACATTTAAAATATTGTGCTAAAATATGGTTTTGTTTCGCATGATTGATACAGCAATTATCATTAATGCATGAGTTCATCATTATGCTTGCTAATTCAAAATTGATTTTTTCTAAAATTTGATTATGCCAAAATGTTGAAAAGTACAGTCAGTAAAACTAAATTAATTTTGAAGGAAATCAGATTCTGTGTGAAAAAATTGCTATGTTATCAGTGTAAAATCATTCATTATATAAGTTGTGTTATAAACCTGCATGTAATAGAATGTATAGGAGATCTGACTGGCTGAAGATTTCCAGTGTTTGAATTGTGATGTCATAACTTCATGCCAGCATGTGCTTTGTGATGTCATGAAAGAAATAAACAAAAAGTGAGATTTTATATCAGTCAAAGGAAATGCTGTTTTCATGAATGCTTGTAAAAGTATCTAATTTATGTTACAAACTTGAATCTTACATTCAGTTTAGGAAATGGGACTCAAGAGTTTTTTTACATAAAATGATAGACACATTATGATTACTCAACCATTTTGTCTGATGTTGGTATATACAATGTAATAGATTATTGGGATATTTATCACAGACGTACAAATTCTTATTTCAATAGGGCTGTGATAAGGCTGCCATGGTGTGGGACATGAGGTCAGGAGAGTGTGTACAGATGTTTGAAGGACATGACTCGGACATTAACAGCGTTCGCTTTTACCCAAGTGGAGATGCATTCGCAACAGGATCCGATGATGCTACAGTGAGTGATTTCTTAACATACCAGATTACAAGTTAACTTCAATATATTACCGTATTTGTCTGAAATTTTGCCATTGTCTATTGGGTTAAGTCTTACCTCCGTGGGTGGGGTCAGCATGGGATAAATATGGTACACTAAAAAGAATGCTGTTTGAAAAGTTTCTGGTAATCAATGAAAAATCAGGGCTGTCACACCCCATTTTGGGACTGGGGCCCGTGGCCCTTAGAATTGGGAAAAATAATGGTGTTTTCCTTAGAATTGGGAAAACTTGGGGTCTAAATTGGGAAAAAAGATACTATTTTGCATTGGGAATGGGGCCGAATATTGGCCCCAAATCTGGCAGATCGAGAGCCCTGAAAATATAAATAGCAAGTGATTTTTTTTTTTTTTTTCTCTTTTTTTTTTTACTGTATGATTTGAATAATCTACAGACATAGATACTCTGTATATGACCCTGTTTAATCTAAACCTTTTCTATTATAATGTATAGATAGGTATACCCATAGCATAATTTTTTTTCTTAAATATTTTTTATTGCATTAATCACATAATTAACTACAAGTGAAACGAAAGGTTCTTGATGAAAACACACACTATATAAAAATATCAGAGACAGATTCATTCTAAAAATAAGTGTGACACTTTCTCATTCTTGATGAAAACACACACTATATAAAAATATCAGAGACAGATTCATTCTAAAAATAAGTGTGACACTTTCTCATTCTTGATGAAAACACACACTACGTAAAAATATATCAGATATAGATTCATTCTAAAACAAGTTTGACACTTTCTCATTTTTGCCGGATCTTGTTGACTGCATTTTGGGTCAACATATAGGTTGAATATAGAACAAAGTTTCTGTAATTTTGAACAAATATCTTGCATGATTCCCAGTTTGGAATTTTACTTCTTTGTTGCATCAGCAAAATGGTTTATTTTTTAATAAGCTATATGCATATGTTTAAATTTTGATATGAGAAATAATTACTACAAAGTTCATCCCAAAGTAAATGCATATCCATTGTAACTAAATTTACAAACTTTGGGAGTTAGAAGTTAAAAAATGTCATTTGAACTTTTCAGTGTCGTCTTTTTGACCTTCGAGCGGATCGTGAGGTGAACTGTTACAAGAAAGATAGTCTAATAAATGGATGTAACTCAGTCGACTTTTCAATAAGTGGTAAGTGTTCGTGAGGGCAAGGTCACAGGTTTAGTTTGCAACTCAGAGATGAACTTGATTTTGACTGGTGTTGGTCATTGATTTGGTTTTGTCTGTATTTTGTGTAAACATTTACAGCATATGACGGTTCGAGGAGTTCAGGGAGACAGGCAAAGCGTCTTACAAAATTTTATGAATGAATTTCAAGCTTGCCGCCAGCATTTTTCATAGCTGGAAGTTTATAATTCTATTAATCAAATTTGTAAATATATCAAAGAAAGCATATAACATAATTTTGAATTCTTTAAAAGAGAAAGATTCTATTTCTGACAGGTCGGCTTCTATTTGGCGGATACAACGATTACACTGTAAATATCTGGGATGTATTAAAAGGAAATCGAGTGACAATGTTGTATGCACATGAAAACAGAGTTAGCTGTCTTGGTGTCTCACCAGATGGCACTGCTCTATGTACTGGAAGCTGGGATTACTCTTTAAAGGTAAGTGAATATTCATGACATTATAAATCGGTGATTATGAATTAGCTTTAATAATTACAGTTTTGGAGTAAGCATTAATTATAAGCCTATAACTAGTTGGTGATTTTTTTATTACGTGACAACAGGTAGCCACATAGCAATGATAGGGTTTTTCTAGCAATAAGTTGACTTTGAATCTGAGTTAATTTGATGACCCCTTTGGCTTATTACAGGATGAATTTGTATAATATGTATTATAAAGAAATACTTAACAAAAATAATATTTACTTACTTCTTATCATTTAACTGTTTCGAAATAGATTCATGTTGCTCAAGGTAGCATACACCTTTAAGTCATTTTGTTGATTTTGGTATTATTTCAGATTTGGGCATAGGCATTTCTCTCATACAAGACATGGTGATGCGTCCTTGTTGAATCTTCGGCAGGACCTATCAGTTGGTCGTCACTCCTTACCCTGTAGCAGGAGAAACTAACATACAGTCATTGTCTTGTGACAGTCATGTTGATGGTATTTATGAGGGGGTACTGTAATATCTCTTTTAATGTATGTTAGTATTGAATTAATTGAAGGAGGACACCAGGCTTGTACAAATATGCCGATAGTTATTTTTATGTTAACTGGGTCAATTTTTATTTTGACCTCATGATCTGCAACCTTTCACCCCATGACCTTTGACGTCTTTTGACTCCTCATCCTTTATGAGTCCTGACAATACTTTTTTCCTTTGTAAAATCGAAAATTAGCTAACATGCAATATCAAATTAAGATTGATTATTTGGTTTTGCTGTACATAGGTATGTTTTGTAATTTTGAAATGTCATTAATTAACAAAAAAGAAATCATTCAAAACCTTAGCTATGTGATCATGGCATTAACTTTTGTTATGAGAGATTCCAATGTTATTTATTTTGTTTTAAGACATTTCATTTCTATAATTAGTATCAGGTATTATAAATATTTGTATGACCTTGACCTTTGTAAAGGTCAGAGGTCATATAACCTCCGACTTGTTGTACACTGGTACATCTGTTGAGGCTCTTTCAATGTGTGTTTTTTTAAGCTTGAATGCCTATATATTAGTACATATTTTTGATTTGATAGTTTCTTTTCTATGATTGTTTTTGTATCTAATTATACATTCGATGTATTTCTGACTTTTAACTATATTTAATGTTATTGGCATATTTTTTTTTCTTCAGAAAATATCAAAACCAATATAAAATTCTCTTATTCTGTAAATGACTAACAAATGTTTTAGTATTTTTCAAGACAGTCATAAATTTGATATACTGTATATTTGGGAACTTTTGTCGCAGTTTAACAATGTCCATGTTGCATATTTGTCTACTGGGCAAATATAAAGGTGGATAAAAGTTTGAAGTTAACAAGCTTAACTATATGTTTTCATTATTACCTGGTAAAGGGTCAATCCTACCACTGGGTGAAAAAGAACAGCTAGATGCGAGAACAAAAACTGTCCTTAGGAGAATAATTTCCTATATGATGTCTGATATATCCTGGCTTTCATCACAGGTATCTGGTTTTGAATGTGTAGCAGTTTATATTGTCTGTAAGTAGAACACCTGTATAAGAATTTATTTTCAGCTTTCAGATTTCTGTGAACCATGAGCAGAGGGCTTTTAACCCCTTCACCCCTACATGCATAAACATCAAAATTGCTTGGCTACACGACTGAAATTTTGTTAGTATGTTTGCATTGTCACTATATTTTACATGTGTTGAATGTTACTTACCTCCCATAGAAATAGGGTTGTACCCCATGCCACATATCTTAGGCTTGCCTATTATATCAAATTGGTCAACAGGAACTCATAAGATCAATTTATATTAATTAAATGTTTTTTTTTAAAATCTTCTCTTCATGCAATTCACGAAAAAGATGCATTTTTCTGCAAGGTAGCAGACTCCAATTCTGTTATTTCCAAGTCAACGTCGACAGGATCAAGAAAAACTGTTGAGTTATGGGAGTATTCAAGTTAAAAATTCATCATAACCTAGATACAAAGAGGTGATTTGGCGAGGAACAGATAAACACCTAAGTTAAACGGAGTCTTCAGGTTATCAAAATTTCAGATACTGAAGTGTGCATGCTGTTTATATTTTTACATGTGTACACGATACATGAAGTTTTATTTTGTATTGTATGTTACAAAAACTGAACATTAACCCAATAGCACTATTTCTATGACAACAATTTCTAAAGCTTATTTTAACCTGCTTTTTCAGCTTGAAAAGTTCCAACTGTTTCATATGTTTTAAACAAAAACAAAACAAAAGACAAAGAAACTATGAATAATGAAAATATATTAACATGAGCACAACAGTTCTTTGAGGATAAATTGAAGGTTTCATCTTATCAAAAATACCTATCAGTGAGTCGGTCATATTAAGTGTCTGGGTAGTCCAGCACTTAGAAGTTGTTTCATTTTCCAATGAGATGTACTCAAATTGTATTGTGTTCAAGTCTTGTGTAGTTATTTAATTTTCCAAATAGATGTACCTGCTACTCAGATTTTATTGTGTTCAAGTCGAGAGTATATTTTTAATTTCTAGTCAAATCTTTATTTTATAATTGTTTTTGTTATCAGAGGTGTTTCTACTATTATAGTGTTTTATCTTTCCTGTTGGTGCTGATTCAGGTTTGTTTTATATGTTTCTATAAGATCTGAAATAACCATTAAAGATCTGAAAGAACCATTTTTTAACTGTTAATCTGTCTCATTTTTTGTTCCTTATAATTTTTACAATTTATTTTTAAAATTGTACCCTAGTAGAGTTTTAAAAAACCTTAGATTTGTTTTTATTTACTTATTTTTTTCAAATTTTTTTTTTGTAAATAAGACTTACCAACTTAGGTTATTGTTAGAATTGAATATATAGATATATATGTAGTTTTATGATTAAACAAGAAAAAGGAGAGAGCAAAATTTGTTATTTGTAGAAATCCATATATTGACATGAAAAATTAATCTAAGCCTGTGAACTGTCAATTTTATATGATTTTAATTTTTATTGTAACGGAAATCCTGGAAATAGAACAAAGTGCTGTAAAAGGAAAACAGGAAAATATTTACTGCAGTTTTTACTAAATTGAAATTCTCATGTAATTACATGTATGTATTCTTAACGCGTCATTTCCCATGTAGCTGAGTCAGTAACACAAAAAGGTGGCCCATCACTGTAATGCATAATTGAGCGTCTCACCTCTGAATGCTTGAAGATATATTTTTTTCTTTGTGTGCATATTATTAATCAGAAATGAGTGTATGTGTCTATCAGACGATGACCGCATGTACAGTTATTTAACATTTTTATCAGTCCCTCAACTGTCATTACCTGTTTAACATAAGTATACCCGGTACTGCGTATCGACACATCAATAGTATTACAATTATAAAATTGTTGTAACTTTGTATTATATATGTCTCCTTGATACATTTCTCATCATATGGAAACTTATTGCCTTTCATGGAAAACATACAGGAAACTTATTGCCCTTTGGAAAACATTGTGGAAAAAACATTGCCTTTCATTGTGGAAAACATGGTACAAGTTTAAAGGAAATCTAAGTTCATTTCATGTCAATAAAAAAATCCTTTGGAATGATACTGAAAATAAATTTGAGAAAGTAATCCTGGTGTATGCTTATGTAAAAAGGATTAAAAAATTACTTCTTTTAGACAAGAAGATACATTGTGACCATCTGTAATATTTTTAATCTGATTTACAATCTTGCTTTTGATGTCTTGGAGACATTGTCATTCTGTCACTTTATCATACAGCTTAAACATCAGATGAATTGTTTCTGTTGTGACCTGAAAAATTAAAGGTAAAAAATGAATTCCCTTTAATTCTAGTGGCAGAATGTTTATAGCTCGTACATTTTCTTGATTGAAAAAGATTTACGGATGATCTCATTTTTTACAAAAAGGCAGATCCGCTTACTGTTTTTGATTGTGTTAACGTGTATAGTAATCTTTATGTATAATCTTGTAGGAAATGGTGTTCTCTAATTCTTTAAATGACGTCCAATTTTCTTCTGAATATCTAGCTAACAAAATTTTTTCTGAATATTAATTTAAAACAAACCATCTGATTTTGACGATACTTTGTACTCACAAAATCGTTATTAATTGATATCTATTTTAACTGTTCATCATTTCACAGACATAAGAATTTATGGATTAAAAGTAACCAAAAAATAGATGAAAATAAAATGTCTGTATAAATAAATATACAATATTTATGAATCAGGTTAAACCAATTTTGTGGAGGATATTTCCATATTTGTAAATATGTTATTTTCAATGTATGCATAAACTTTGTTTTCAGTGTTTGAATACTAAGCTTGATGTGCATTATTGAGGTGAAAAAGTTAGACTGCATATCCATATGCAACATGAAACACAACCCCTATATGGCTCACATACAAGTGTATGTGTATATCCAACAGTAAGCCCATGTTTGGTAATAAGCCCACCCATAGATTTATTGCTGTTTAGTAAAATTATGAACCTGTGATATTTCACTGTCCTAGAATAATGCCATTCCCTGATTTATTGTAAGATTATGTGTTGTCTCCCTGGGCTTACTGCAGGGTAAGCACGGTATTTTTACAGACTGTGGGTTTTTTAGTGATCTTTGAAACATCCTGGTGGTTCTCAAGTGTTCTTGTAAGTTTGTAGTAGTTCAAGTTTCCAAAAGTCTACAGCAACATTTATACTCTGCTTCACAAGATTATATATCTGCACAATGTGTGTGATCATCAGACTGTAATACAAAATCCTTTTTAACGATGTTGTAAATACACCATTAAATTGTACAAAATGACTTGTCATGGCTTTAGCACTAATACTGTAATCTAAAAACTTGCTTGTTGTATCAATATTTTGCATATCTGCTGGCAGGAATTATTGGCAAAATTTTAAAACAAAGTTTTGCAACAGTTTTTTTATGTTGCAATAAACATGAAATTATGCTTTTCTAATGCTGATGTTTTAAAGTTATTCAGCTCTCTGTAAAGTGTTGATTTAAAATATCATTGAATAAAACTGTTAATTTTGAATGGGCCTGCAGTTCCAGTTACATTCATGTATTAACAGTTTGAGGTCAAATTAAATTATGCAATTTGTTTGGACAATTTTTTTCTTTGTGTGAAGTTCAATGAAATTTTGAGTTAAATCATGGATGATGATAAAATCTGCATTATGAATAAGAAAGGATTTCACCTCGACATAGGTTTAGGAATGTGTTGCAAACAATTGCTGTCCAATAAAATGAAATATTTTATAATAATGTATTTCATCATTGCATTTTAAATTGTTTTAAGGATTAATGTGATATACAGTGAACCTATTTATCTTGGTGTAATCAAATTTATTAGTATTATTATTATTAGTTTTTAACAAATTACATCATGATGAATTTGCACATTCGCAATAGTTGTAAGATACACAATATACAGGAACTGCAATTAGCACATTCTAATTTTAGACCCGTTGTTTTATTATGAAAAGCATTAGAATAATATTATCCCAAAGGTATGTGAATTCACAGTATGAGGATCAGATAATATGGATTGGCTGAACATTTTCAGATTGAATTTAGATAATTAGGTTAAATTTGAAGTTGTAGATATATAAAATGGTTACACAACCATTTGTTTCCCCCTTGATTGAAGTAACAACATACATGACTTTGTGATGTTGTTTCCAAATATATATAGAGAAGGTGTCAACAGTTCCTTCTGGATGTTTGTGTCTGTCAA